TATCCCTTTATAAGGAGAAATTGAACATTTGCATATGCAGTATATATGATAAAAAATATCCTACGCAAACTTGAACTTATATATAGTTTTAAATGCGGGGCGAGGGGTGGGGGAATAATATTTAATGAATATTTATATAGTTTTAATATTTTATATATAAGTTTTAATTTTATATATAAGTTTAATATTTTATTGAGTTTAATATTTTAAATATAAGTTTTAATATTTTATACATATATTTTTTTTTATTGTATTATTCTAAATTTTTTTTAAAATTTATATTTATTTAAATTATAAGCTTATATGAAAAATGAATTTTGCATTTAAAAATTTTTATTTTTAATATAAAAAAGCTTTAAATAAAAGTATATCAAAATGTATCGTAAAAAATATCCAAAAACAAATATAGATACCAGGGTTAGAGAAAACCTAAGAATTTATAATTTCATAAATATCTAATTGTTTAAATAAATTTTATTTAACTGATAATATGTTTAAATTATTTAGAAAAAGATCTATGATGGTACTATGAATCTTGTTATAATTAGTTTAATCTTACTCCTGACCATTTCGGCAGTACATAGGGTAGTAGGAATAAGAATAGTTGATAAATATTTATATAAAATTAAAAATTTGGGAAAGCAAAAAAAAATAGAATTTTAAGGTAAAATAAACGTAGTGTTTCCGGTCTGAATCATAAGTTACGGAATCATCATCAGAAGATAATAAATTACAATAGCTTTATACAGGGTTGGGCAAATTTTCAGAAAATTGTATTCGGATACAGATACTTTATAAAATTTTGTATTTAAGATACAAGATACTAGATACTTTAGAAAAATTTCAATAAGATATAAGATACAAGATACTTGTGTTTTTTTTAAAAAAAAGTATCTAAGATACAAGATACTTTTTTTAAAAACTTTAAATAGTCAAAATAAAAATGTATAAAGCTTTATTTTCTTATCTATAATATAAATTTATAAAAAAATATTTAAAATAATATGTAGAAAATAACAAATTTATTATAAAAGATAATGCGATATTCCATATAGTAATTATATAATTAGTAAATAATAATAAATCAGCATTATTTTTTAATATTATTAATTTTTCGTTCAATCTTTGACGATTTGGTCTATTAACCATATTAGCAAAGCTAAATAATCTTTCAACGGGGGCTGAGGAGGGTAATATTGTGTTATATTTAATAAATATTTCTTTTATATATTTATAACTATTTAACATATTTATACTCCGCCTGTCATCTCATATAATTTAGGACCTCTATTTCAATATCATTTATTGAATTATTAGAATTGGATGTGGTACTTTTAAGGCAAAAGTAATCATCATCTTCATCAATTGAAGATTTTGTTGAAGTATTAATTTCAATATTATTTTTAAAAACAATTAAAACTTCATGTAATGACAAATTCTGAAGGTATTTTTTTTCTTTTTCACCATCAATCCAACGATTTTTAAAATAGGGATGAGAAATAGTTGCCAAAAATGCACTCTTAAAATTGTTATCAAAATCATATATATTTTTAAATCTTTTATTTAAATAATTTTCTATGGCAACAGCTAATGGTTTGCAAAATTGTAGATTGGTTTGAATTAAATTTGTAATTTTTTTAACGACATTTAAAATTGGAGCTGATTTTCCATAATAGCAGTTGATTTCACTCTGTATTTTGTCAATCGCTATGCCAATGGGGCCATTATATTGCAATATTCTTCTAAATATTGAATTTCAATATCTCTTAATTTAGGAAATTCTAATTTTTGACATAATTTAGGAAGTTCGCCTTTAAATTTTAATAAACTATGAAGACTATCATACTAACTATTCCATCTAGTGCAACAAGGTGTAACTAGTTGTTTTCCTAAAACTGCTTTGATAAGTTCTGCAGTTTTAGGCCTATTATTTGCATTCCATAGCTTAGTACATTTAGCTATTGCAGGATGATGAATTTTAGAAATGTTAGGATAATAGCTCTCTCGACATCTGTTGTGGCAATTAGACTTATCGTATGGCACAAACAACGAATGTGTTGAGGTGTTATTGAGGCTTCTTTAGACCCTTAAATAAACAAATAAATAATTTTATTTGAATAAATTTTTTTACTAAATTTATAATATCATAATAAATTTTAAAGAAGTATTAAATAATACTTTCAATGATTTCGAATTCTATACATTCATTATCATTGATGTCAAAGTCATTCTCTACAGCTTCCATAGAATATCCAGACTCCTTGAAAGCTTTCTTAAAGTTAGAGCCGTTATCTGTAACAGTTGCTATAACTTTTTCGTCAATACCAAAGTCACGATGAATTTCTTTATTATGATCATCTTGAAGTACTTCAAAAAATTTGCCATTAAGTATGCTTAGTTTAAATTTTATGTTATAATTTTCGGTTGAAGAATCATCTGAAGACGGAGATAAACATATTATTCTATTTTCTTCTTCCATAATTTTAAAATAGACAGATATAAAACGATTCAAATATGGTAGTTCTATTGTTAGCAAATTGTTATATGACGACCAACGTCATATATCAAAAATTATCTTAAAATATCTAAATTTTGATTAAATTTTTCATTTAAATCTTGAAACAATATCATTTTAAATTTTAATACTATTTAAATTAACCAATATAAGTTTTTTTTAAAGTATCTGTATCTTTTTGAATACAAAGTTGGTTAAGATACAAATACTTTTAAATAATATGTATCTTAGATACTGGATACAAGATACTTTCCAAAATTTTAAAAAAGATGCAAGATACAAGATACAAGTTAGATACAAATATCCGCGATACTGCCCAACCCTGGCTTTATATAATAATATCCAGTTTTAAATCTAAACAAATAAGATAATATTACCAATTGATATTCTTGATTCTTAAAAATTGTTGCAATTTTGTCAGTATATATATCACTCTGAAATACTTTGACCACTGCATATCTTTTATGAAACATTTCTTAGGGTTTTTATCGATTAGTATAATTGTACAATGATTAAATTTAATCGATGACAAAAGCATTAATAAAAGCTACCTTTATGGCCTCAAGATCTAATACAAAGACTATTCTTCATTAATCGTTTCACACATGTTTGAAATATCATTATATTCTCTAACTCAGAATATGAGGGATAATTAATGAAATTAAGTTTACATATTATATTTTTTTAATATTAAGCCAAGTCGTGTTACTTGTAAAATAAACATTTATTAATTTTTCAACTGGCATATTTTTAATATATCTTATTAACAAATCTATTGCTTCTGATTTCGTTTGTTTTTTTTATAACAATATTTTTCCTAGTTATATAAAGTATATATTTATATTAATATATGATAAATGATGGAAATATAGTTAAAATTATAATCAACTTTATTTTATACCCCCCTTTTTTTGCATATTTGAGAACATTTTCTAAAATTTTTCAAAGAATAAAAATTCTTTTTAATATATCCCTAATATCATGAGGGTACAGAATTTTCTTATTAAATTTTTTTATAAATACACTAATCAGTTGCTTTTTACCCCACTCCCCCATCCCTCTATTCTAGTTGCCACTGCTCTTCGCCAAGTTTTTAAACAGTGCATACCCCTGATAATACTTTAACATTCTTTTTATCGTGAAGATAGTTTGGCTACGCCAGGATTTTACGAAAACGTCAAAGTCCAATTGCTGAATAGCAAGGTGTGTGTGATCATAAATAAATTATTTAAATTATAAAATGTCATATTTACAAAAATTTGATAAGTTTATATACAGTTTGGATAACAAATTGTAATATATAGAATAAAATTTATTATATAATATTCAAGGTTAACAAAATAACATATAAGTTGTTAAGGCAAATAATATAAAATAAAGTTAAAACTTTTTTAAAATAATTTGATCTCTTTATTTATAATATAAGGGAGCATTATAAATTTATATTGAAATAACATTAATAAAAAATAATTGAAATGACATTTAAAAAAAAAAATTAAGTATTTTAAAAAGACAAAAAATAAGCTTCAAAAACATGGGTGGGTTACAAAATAGGGCTATCATATAGAAGAAACTAAGAAAATTGTCTCAGAACAGAGCGATTAGAGTTGATTGTAATATTTTAAATGAGGATCCATGATCACAATTAATATAAAATATTTCTTAAAATAGTATAAAATTCTAATAAATAAAATATAAATTTATATATATTAAAGGTCAAATGTTTTAAGATTATAAAATATAATGTAAAACGAAAATTTTTTAATAAAATAATTTAGAATACAAAAAATAAGAAATAAATAAAAATCAAAAATGTAAAAAAAGTAAATATACGAAATAAATGGTGTATTAAGTTATTTTTCTGATCATTAACATGGATTTTATCCGATTCGACACTCTTATGAAAAGTTTGAAGAGTTCAATCTATAAAAACATATTATACAAACTGTCAGACAATAATATCAATCAATTTAATTCTAACGCACTCTATGACTCAGTTGAGCGCTGGAATCAAATTTTTAAATTTACAATGACATTACCAAAAGATAATTTTAAACTACATATAAAAACTTTTAACTTATCTGATAAAAATTTTGACAATAATTATCAATTTAAAGCATTAAAAATGTACTATATTTATTAAAATCTATATATATAATTTTTTTTTTAAAAAAAAAACTCAGATCTATCAATCTGAAACCTCACGGTTTATATACTAAACTATTCAAAGATATATCTTATGAGAATTCAAATATTGTTAATGAAAAGAATTTACATTTAGAGAATGTTAATAAAAAATTAGTTGCACATGTTTTGCCAATATGTAAAAATGTCATTAATCAAACTGCAAAAGAGATAGATTTTGAAAGTTTTATAATTAAACATATTTTTTATAGAATAATATGCTATTTACCTTTCTATAAGTTATCTGTGAATAAAATAATTATCAAGATTTTTTATGTATTTTATATAAATTGGACTTACCATGAATATTTTAGATTTCCATAATCATGATGCCAAAGATCTTAGAATTTTAAGTGAATCACTTCTTGAGAATTCTGACAAAAATAAAGATGAAATATGCCAACTATTAGCAAATGTAACTGACTTGATATGCAAATACACTAACCCAAGTAACATATTTTGAGGATTTTTGCTAATCAAATGGCTTTATTTTGAAAATTTGTTGCTTGATTATTTAATTAGAATATTCTTAGGAATTCCTTTCAAATATTTAACTTTTTATTTGTCAATTTAACTGTTCAATATATAAATTATTTTTGATTTTGAGTTTTTATAAATATGAATCAATGACAAAGTAGGCTCATGATTAAATCAATGATTTTAAAAATAAAAATCATGTATTTTTTTTTGCTTGTATTAAATAATGTTTATTTATTTCTAAATAAAAATATTTTAGTAACTATACTAAATTTTACCTAAAAGTTTCAATTAATTTTTAAATTTAGTTATTAAAATAATTTTCAGATACTGTGCTAGCTTTATCCAAATTATTTCTTTGATTATTTGTTACAGACAAAGACTATAGTTATTTCAATATTTAATAAATAATAGGAGCAATTTAATTATTTTTTAAATTATAAACTTGCGTAAATCATACCATAATACACATTTTCTTAAAAATTACAAGTTGTAATATATTTTTTAGGACATATTGTTAATTTTTGATCTTTTATAGAGTTAAATCAATACTTATATTATTTTATTTTTCAATATTAATTATATTTATAAAGATTCATGTTGTGACATAAAAGCAAATGAGATTTCTGATCTCCATGCAATCAGAAATAAAATTTTGAAACATCAAGCAAACTCAAAAAAGTCACTTGAAATGACTGAAAAGTTAATTTGAATTCAGTAAAAAAAAAAATAATATCCATTACAGGAAACTAGTAGAGACTCTTAATGACAATGACATTATAGCCAGTATTAAAGTGAGCAGTCCTGCAAGTAATATTATTACCCTGTAAAATGTAAAAAAAATTATATTTAATCATCTAAGGCTGTACCATAGGCAAAATCATAAATTTAATTTTTACTAGGTGGCACTGGGATGCACATTCATATATTTCATGTTTTGATCTCATTCTTTCCATTATTCTCATATATTAATAATACTAAATTGCCATATTATAATGGGATTTATGAAATAAACAACTTATATATATATAAAATAGACTTTGTTTATAGTAACCACAATGTCACTCAAGCAAAGTAGCCTAAAGATGACATAGCAATATTTTGTGGTTACTATAAACAAAGTTTAGGTCATAGGTGATTTCTGCAAATAATGTTTTAAATAAAAGTTATCTTTTTTGTTATATTATTTTTGGATTTGCATTGGGCCTACTTTTACAAGCCGAGCCCCAAATTTTTTTTCCTGATCCAATCCCTAACAAATTTTTTTTTAATTGACCTGAAAAGCTCGACCCAAAATAAAAATTAGTCTACGGCTTGGCCCTATTATTTAAATATAGAAAAAATTAATTTTTTTTTGATTGTAAAAAAATATTCAAATAAAAAATATTAACGTTTTCATGCAAGAATTTTAAAATATATTTATTTGACCAATCATTTAAAATTTACTCCCGACCTGGCCCAACTTATTTTTAAAAATATTAGTCCCGACTCAATCCAAATCGAAATAAAACGGTCCAGCCCGAAAATTCGGACTGAGCCATGATTTGGAGATCTCTAATTATATTATCTTTTTTAAAAATCACAATTTCCTTTTAATTGTTTATAAAAGGGCATAAAACTAGTGCTGTAAACATTTTTAAAAAAATCGAACGCGTTCGAGTTCAACGTTCATTGACATAAATCGAACGCGTTCACGTTCAAATTCAAAAAAAAGGAACGCGTTCAAGTTCATGAACGCGTTCATACGTTCAAGTTCATGAACGCGTTCATACGTTCAAAATTTTATGATAAATTTTTTTAAAAATTTAATTTAATATTAATAAATGCCTTATATTTTTCAACACAATATATTAGCCATGATAAAAAATAATAGTTTTATTTTGATAATATAATTATAAATACAATATAATAGAGCGATAAAAAAATAAATTTATAAAAAAATTTTCTTATTAATTTTTAATAATAATTGCTTTTCAAAATTTTCATCTGATAGGCATGAACGCTTGTCAGTTAATACAGCGTTATCTATACTAAAAACTCGCTCAACAAGGGCAGATGAAGGGATTGCGGTGTTATACTTGATAAACAATTCTTTTAAAAGGGGGAATTTATTAAAAACATTTAATGTTTTATCCATTGTTTCAAAAAATTGAGCTATGTTATCATCCTCCAATCTGCCCTCTTCTTCCTCGTCAAAAAAAAGGATATCTCGGAATTGCTTTTAAAACAGTGAAATATTTTTGATATTTGGGCCATGATAATTCTAATTCATCTAATATTGAATTTTGATTTTCAGAATCTGATGATGAAATATTTATATCCATGCAAATGCTAATCTATTAAATTAAAATATAAAATATTCAAATTAATAAACTTTAATCTTATCTTCTCTAGCAGTAGCACTATGGTACGTTAATTGCAATATCAAAAAGGAAAAAGTAAAAACAGCTGATTAAAAAATATAAGACTTTTTTGTTAAAAAATTGGATTAAATATTAATTTTTCAAATAAATAAAAATATAAGACTTTTTTGTTAAAAAATGCGGATTAATATTAATTTTCAAATAAATAAAAATAAAAAGTGTTTTTAAAATTGAACGAACGTAAAATTGAACGCGTTCATCAAAGAAAAGGAACGCGTTCACGTTCAAAGTTCGTCAAAAAAAAGGAACGCCGTTCATCACCTTTTTTCAAAAAAACGAACTTCGTGCGTTTACAACACTACATAAAACACATAAAAACAATTTTTTTAAATTTTGTTGGGGAGGAGGGTTCATTTAAATTTTGGGGCTACGGTGAGATTATCATTAAACATAACAAATTTTTAGACGTGCACTGGAACTCCCGTCAAAAATATTTATAAAATCTAAGCAGCCAGGCCTATCTGCTAGAAAATTTTATAATGGAGCATTAAAATATTTTTAGGCAAGTGACAATATTTCTTTGACCTGATTTGTAGGAAAAAAATATTTTTCCGATTCAACCTGACCCAAAATAAAATATAAAAATTAAAATTTTATTTTTAGTATGTAATAAAAAAATAATCCTAAAAAAATGAATAAAATTGTGAAATAATATTACTATCAAACCATGATTTATGAATATCACTGATTTAATTAAAAAATAATAACTATATTTTTTTAAACCTAAACCGGCCCACCTGGAAAAAATGTTGACCCGGCCTAACAAACTGGGTGTAGTGATGAATTGGAGCTTTGGGATGCGTTGGGTGACCTTTAATTCATATACAGCTCATATTTTTAATTCCTTTTTATACAAATAATTTGCAAAACACATGCAAAAATTATTTCAGAAATAACAAAATTTTAGAAATCCCTTATAAATGTTGAAAAATTCGAGCTGGTCAAAAGATTTTCCAAAAGAAAATAACCTGGCCTGTTTGGTCTGCGAAATATTGAGTTATTTAATAAGAATATTATAAGGAACCTACCTCCTATAAGAAAAAAAGATACATAATCAAATTATAATAGTTAAAAAAATATATAAAACTTATAATATAGGAAGAAAAACAATTTAAAAAAAAATATCTTAAAATAAACATCAAAAAATTAAATACATGGAAAAAGTAAAAAAAATATCACATATGTACTCTATACTACAGTGTACACTTGTTTATATAATTATTTTATATTCTTGATTAATTTTATTATATTTATTTATCTAGAAAAAATTAAAAATTTTTATAATAAATATTTACTAATATAAACAAAATACATTTTTATTCTAAAAATAATCGGATTAGAGTTCAGGAGTGGGCTCAAACGGCTCATTGAGCCGTTCGAGTCTGAGCCGTTTTTTACGACTTCGACTCGAGTTCAGAGTTGTAAAATCTCGACTATTTAACAACACAATATATCTATATATATATATTAAAATTATATAAACTAGAATATTAAAAACAGGGCGAGGATGGGCTGGGATTATAAATATATATTGTTAGTCGAAAGATATTTTTTGAGTGATTGTTGTTAGCTTTTTACATAAAGTTTTTTTAAAATAGAATCGCTTCTTCGCCTAAGTTCCCTAATGTAGTAGTATAGTAACAAAGGGTAAAAAATATAATACTTTTTGTAGTTGGGAATATTTGTTACGCTTGAATTATAATTATTTAAAAAAGAATTATGGGTTTAACATATCCATTTTTTTAGAACGATCCTTTTATAATTACATAAATTTAGATTTAATTAGAATTTTTTAAAATAAATAATTAATTTAAAAAAAATAATTAAATGATGTTGATGATCATTTCTTCCTTTTATAAATAAATATTAATTAAAATTTCTTTAATTAAAATATTTATTTTTTTTGGTAGAGAAAAAATTTTTGGAAGAAGAGATTCAACAAGATGACGGGAAAACGGAAGAATTTAAAGGCACGAATTTTCCTCATTCAAATTTTGTTTTCAAAGTAAAAAATTTTTTTATATAAAAAAAATATTTTTCTTATAATATCATTTATTATTCCAATAAAACTCCGGAAATGTATTCCAGCATCTTTAGAAAACGTATCTTATGAATTGTAAAAAATATTGCCATTAACCTTTTGCATTTATAATTTATATAAAAAATTTATGGAAAAAACTAATATAAATTATATTAAGTTTAAAAGTTCATAGCGAAATTGCCCTGAAATTCATTGGGTGGGTATTCCAAACATGTTGAATTTCTGGTAAAATCCGATTTTTAAATTTAAAAAAAACCCGCTTAAAAAATAATATATTGCTGGAGAAAACATTTTGGCGCTAAAATATATATAGTACCCAAGAATGAGTTACTACATTTCGAAGATATGAAAATTATGAATCCCTGGATACCTTATTTTGAGTTTTATTTTTCTTAGGGTAACCATATCTATATATATAAAAATACTAAATTAGAGATCGTTGCAGTTCTACCCGAATTCCCGCGGGTTGGCCGGACAAATTGTACAGGAAAAATAAACATTTTTTACTATTTTTTAAAACCCAGCTCTGGCCGGATTTTTGTAAACCCGAGCCCCAGAGCCGATTTGAAGCCTTAAATGCCCCTACAAATTATTAATATTTGAACGAAACACTTTTTATATACCTATATATAAACCCTTCTATGGAAATATGAAAAGTAAATAATTCCTTCTAGAACCTACACTCGAATCAATAGAAAGTTGTATTAACTTGGCATCTGAAATATAACGGAAATCCCTAATAAGATTATCTAAGCTCCAATTTTTTGACATATTAAAATATATAAATTCAAATAAAATTCCGACCAATATTTATCAAATTAAAAATGATATATTAATTTATAATTTTGTGAAAAGGAGGCTTATTATTTACTCTCAAATAGGTTTTCAAACAAATTTTTGGCCTCAAAACTTTTCGCCATAATCAATTACAAGCGATAAACGCCGCCATGCTGGATTATGATTGCTTCGTGCTGATGCCAACAGGTTCTACAAGAATCGCTTTATCTATTATATCATATTTATTTAGTTTTATACTTAGAGCTCGATAAAAAAAAATAAGAAATTTAAAAAATATATATATTTTCCTGACAACATAAATTAGAATTAATTCTTTAAAAAAAAATTTTCAAAACACCTATGCCTAATTTTAGCCAATTCAAAATCCTAAATTAATTTATCTCAGAAATTTAACAAAAGCGTGATATTTTTTTGTTCCTTTATGAGGTCTGCAATGTTCGGCCGGTAACGCCTGAAAAAATTTATTTAGACCGGATAAAAAAATTATTGAACTGGAAATTATTGATAAATTCTGATATTTAATCGGGTTAGGCCTTTTATTTAAAGAAAATGAGCTGGGCAACCTTAATATAATATTTAAAACGGGGCCGGGCCTGATCAAATTTGGCTGGCTGTTCCTGGTAAAACAAGTTTCAACTGGGCTGGGCCTGAAATGCTATTTGTAAACCTCTTACCCGGATTATCATCTAATGCAATTTTTTATATCAAATAGGTGGCGGTAAAAGCTTGTGTTATCAATTACCGGCCTTGATTGCTGATGGAGTAACTATAGTTATAGCACCCCTCAGGGCATTGGTACAAGATCAAGTGCAAAAACTTCATTCTTTAGATGTAATTAGAAACTGATATTAATTAATAAATTGGATTGACTTCTAAACAATTTTGATTGATTAAAATTGAATAATTTTTCATAACATAATTCATTACCTTAAATAAATTAAATTAGATTTTGAATACAAATATGGAAATCGAATATAATAAAGGATGTAAGAGTAGAAAGGAAACAAATTATATTATACATATGATTTGCATTAATTTTTATTTTGTCTGGGTGAAAGATACCGGCTACATTTTTATTAGGGGAAATGACCGTCAACCAACTTAACGATATATACCATATCTTGTCATTGAAGGAGCCCGGGGTCAAATTGCTTTATTGTACTCCTGAAAAGGTTATTTTAACAAATGGTATAAAAAAAGTTTAATATATTTCGCGAGAAAAGAAAGATCCATGAAATCGTTTATTTATAAAATTTTCTGACAAAAATAACAAGATAAATTGCAGCGAGAGGTTCATGAACGTCTTGGAGAATCTGTACACCCGAAAATTGTTGTCGCGATTTGTCATCGACGAAGCTCATTGCGTTAGTCAGGTGAGTCGATTATTAAATTAATTATGTCAACCTTATTTATTTTTATACAATTTATTCCCAAATGTATATTTTTTTCAAACGATTTTGATTTATCTTTCATATTTCCTGTCTGGTAAACAGATATACGTCCATCTAATTAAAACTTGGCTTGACATAGTAGGAAATTAAAAATCCAATATATTGGAATTTGTTTAACATTGTTTTATATATTTGTTTGCTTCTATCCCTTGTATGGTATATGTATGTTTTTAGTGGGGGCATGATTTTAGGCCGGATTACAAAAAGTTGAACATATTACGCCAAAAGTTCCGAGATGTGCCTATTATGGCTCTAACGGCAACCGCCACATTTAGAGTGCGGAAAGATATTTTGCTTCAATTAGGATTAACCGACCCCAAATGGTAATAATTTATTTTACATTCTATTAATTTAAAAAAAAGTATTTAATATCCAATTTATATTAAGATAAAAGAGCATCTTATCTAAAAAGCGATTTGATCATTCATAATTACTCCAGGTGACATATTTTTTAAAATTTAAATTTAAGGAAAAATTGAGTTTAAAACTTTTTCGATTTTTAAACCGAAATCATTGGCCAGGGAAATAGGTATATTTTTGCCTACTCGTTCTGGAAACGATACGGAAAAATTATTACATTTTTAAATTTTATTAACCAACACATTTTGATTTAAATCATGAATCGTTATTTGAATTTAATTATAAGTAGGTTTAGGTATTATAAAAAAAATGAATTTTATTATCGTTACATAGGCATGATATTCGCATTCAAGTTTATACAAAATAAAACTAATATAATTTAATAATTAAATGGATTAAAATTTTTATTTTTTAATTGAAATGTATTTGTTATTTCATAATGTTTTGGTATTCTTTTATTTTTCGTAACCTACCAAACCGTTATCTTTCCGCCAATTTATTTTTTCATTCTCTAGTGTTCCTGAATGTAAAGTACCATTCCATGTCAATTACAATATAATTAATTTAGTTTTATTTTCTGGGAAAATAAATCAATTTGATTATGTTAAAATGAATGATATCTTTTTAAAAAAAATAATTTATAGTTTTTTTTGGTGAGAGTTGACAATTAAAGAAGAAACGGCAAGGTATGAACCACCTAAGTCAATAAATTCAGTTAAAATATAAGTGGATCTTTTTAAACGCTTAAATACTATATGCGATTTATTTTATAATTTTAAGGTTTGTTCAAAGTTTCAACAGACCCACCTTAAAGTACCAAGTATTGCAGAAGAAAGGCAGAAACATCGTATCTCAAATATGTCAAATACTTTTGTCATTTGACTCCTTATCAGACCAATCAGGAATCATATATTGTCTTTCAAGGTAAAAATCTTCCAGCGCAAAATTTATTTTAATTTCTTATAAATTTCTTCGCTATTTAATTTACAAAGTAGATTTCTTATTTATACAATTCAAATAAATAAAATCGTCCAACATTAAAGGAATGAATGCGAAAATGTGGCCCAAAAGCTTCGCGATGAGGGGTTTGCTGCTATTGCCTATCATGCTGGATTGGAATCGAAAGATAGAAATGTCATTCAAGAAGAATGGCTAGCTGATAAATATAAGGTATAAATGAAAGCAAAAAAATGAAGGAATAATCAATGAATGAAAGAAGAAAAAGATTTTTTTTTAAATTTAAAATAAAAATAATATAAACAAACGATATTTATGAATAACCCTGAAATGATTTTTAAAAAAGCATCAGTTTATGGAAGATATAATAAATAAAATATATTTTTGAAAAGACAAAAGAAAATTTAAAGAAAGAATTAAATTAAAAATATATTTGAAATAATAAAAGATCATATGTGCCACCATAGCCTTCGGTATGGGCATAGACAAACCCGACGTTAGGTTTGTGATGCATTACAGCTTGCCCAAATCTCTAGAGGGTTTTTACCAGGAATCCGGTCGGGCTGGGAGAGATGGGGATACTGCACAATGCATGCTCTTTTATTCTTACCATGATGCCACCAGGATGAAGAGAATGATTCAAAGTTAGGATCGATTGATTGACTTTGAGAATAAGAAAAATGAATGGTAGAAAGAAAGATAAGAGATCAGTTAATTCTTTAAAATGATGGTTTGTATAATTATTTAATTTAAATCGCCATTTTAAATATATTTGTTACAAAACGATGGATGAATGAAAGAGACAATGATTGGATCGAATATATTCTTTTTACCATGCCGCCTGAGATTCAGAAAATATTTTAAAATATTGACCACAAAATTTTTTTAATTAACATACGTCCAAATTTATTTAGGCGAAACAAACTCGGCCTACAAACATATCCACACGGAAAATCTTAATCGAGTCATCGAATTTTGCGAAAATAAGACCGATTGTCGGAGAGCCCAATTATTGGAATATTTCGGGGAAAATTTTAACCGCGAGGAGTGCAGAAAAAATAGGCTGACAGCTTGTGACAATTGCATTCACCAGGTTTTTCAGTGATTTTTTTTTATTGTTTACACATTTTCTATTCTTTTTCCTTAATTCTATTCCATTATTTATTTATCTATCATGCCATTTTTCCTTTTTTAAAAAATTTCAATTCCATTTTTGATATATAATTTTTAAGGAAGAGTTTTTAATCAAAGATGTCACGGAAGATGCTAGGGCCATAGCGGAAACGGTAGGCGTGTTATCTAATAAAAGAAGGGTGAACGTTACTTTGACCCAAATAGTGGATATTTTTAAAGGTTTTGCAGAAAAATATTTATGGAAAATTCAAGAAATCTTTATGAATTTATTATTGGCACATTTTAATCATTATTATTATAGTTTGAACTTTTCATCGATTTTTTTTGAGAATGCTCAGACAGAATTTTTGATCAAATATTATAATAAAAGAATCATCAATACAATCTATTTTTAAGATAATTTTTTAAAATTAACCTTATTTTATTTTTATTGCTATCTGATATTTGAATTTAATCATATCTACATTCTTTTTTCAAAGATAATAAACGGTATAATTAGTCAAGAAACTATATATGAGCTTAATTAATAACACTCTTTCTGATGTTTTATCTCCTCATTTAAAGCAGATAAAATACTTGAGAGATGAAACGTTCTTCAATCTATAACAAACTTGTACCTTAAACTCAAGTTCTTATTGAGATCTGGAATATAATCAAAAAATTTTTTGCCTCCTAACATTTCGTAGATATTATACCCAAAGTTCCAGTAGTTTACTTCTAAAATCTTAATAATTTTTTATATAAAATATTGTATTATGTAAATATATTTTTTATGATCATTTCAAAAATGTTTAAAAAAAAATGGTCCCTTAATTAAATTTATCTATTTTAAAAAGTAGAATAAACATAAGAAAGAGTATTATTAAGCTCATATTAAAAGATAGTAATATAATTCTCGGATTGCAAACAGCTATGTTTTAAATATTTGCATAATGTGTAAGATTAAAAATAGCAGAAAACATTTATTTGACTATAAGTACGAAATTTTATAAGGTAACCAAGTTTTGGCGCACAAAACTGAGATTAACCCTTTAAGCCTTTCTATATTAAGTAATACCATAAATATATTAAAGAAAGGAAAGACTACAAAAGCGATTTGTATGCTATAAATTTAAAAATAATAACATCCTACATCGGAACCGATCTATACAATATTAAGATATAGTACGTTATTAATTTATGTGAAGATGGCGCAAACCATAATCCGTATTTCAAATGTTTCCTTTTAACATCGCTTCAGATCCCTACAAATTATTCTTGATCACAATAGGTAATTCTATCAGAATATTATCACAACATTTGTCAATGGTAAAAAAAAGACAAATCATATAATCAAAATTCTATCTATAAAATGACAATTTTTTAAAAAAAAAGGAAGGAAATTTATTTTAAAACACCCTTGGAAAGGAAGAATACTAGGGACTACTAGCTCTTCAGATATATAGAATTTGATTTTATCTTCCAGGCCCCCCTTGAATTTATATATGATGGAAAAGGTCGCCATGATTAATGTATTCTAGAAATTATTATATGAACTTGTAATATTATAAACTGAATTTATAAATCCAAAAATTTATTTCTCAAGTTACTTATAACCTTATTACAAGTATTAAATTATTCAATATATTTGTAAGGCGTTTCAAAGAAGGAAAAAACTACTAAAAATGGGGATTTTTAATACCTCATTTTCTGCTTGGAAAGGAAAGCTATAATAAAAAAATATAAATTCCATCAAGAATTTAAATGTTGCGTGAAAGCCATTGTCAGATCTGAATTCTTATTTTAAACTTCAAAATATAATGCTATATTTATATATTTCTAAATAATATTTTCTACCTAGCAAGCAACAACAAAAAAAGAAATAAGCAAATATAAATTTTCTGTGGCTTGAACGGCATCCTTGACTAAAACAGAACTTACATGACTATCTTTATCTATTAAATAAATGATATGATATTTGTTAATTGTTGGTCTTTCGATGCATTCTTAAACCGAAATGGAAGTTTTTGAAGTGGCAAGTCGTCCAATTTAAGTAGAATCTCATTAATTCTTCAAAACTTCAATCTAGAATGAACCTCTTTGTTAAATTAACATTATTGTAGGTCATCCATTTATATAGCGAAGTGAGAAATAAATATTTTTGACTAAATGTTAATCATACTATTAATGATTTTTTAGTGTCTCAGGTTCACATTAGTGGTAGAATTCCTTAATGATGGAGATATTCGATTTCACCTCAAAAAATTGCAGCGAGTTACCAGAATAGGATGTCAGGATCTATATTTCCAGTTCATGGTAGACTTGAATTTCCTATATCAAATACTTTTTAAAAAAAGCTGAACATTGTCTTATTTTAAAGTAGATTTAGAAATTGGTTTAGGTGAACAAAATAAATGCACCAAGGTATATTAATATGCCTTCATCTTTCCTGTGCAGTTAAATAATGAGATATGGACACCAAGATTATGTACTAATACTAGATATACTTGGGAGAGTTATATTAATGTTACTAGCCTTCAGGAAATAATTTTTTTTTCTCTTACGTTTTATTTTTAATGTAGGTTTCTCCACGAGTAAGATAACGACCGAGGGCTATCAAAATTTGCCGATGTATGGCAAAGGCTCGAATTACAATCGCAACGACGCCGACAGATTAGCAAGGTTCACTCATTTTTTTTCCTTTGTCATAGGTTCCATTTTTTTGTATGGAAAACGTCAGTCTCGTCTTTTCCCTTTCCATCATAGTGGAAGTGTTTGTATATTCGTTATAAATCTCATATAAATTAATTAAAATTTAAAAAATATATATAGCAGATAATAATAGCTTGACCAAGTTAACTCCTGGTTGAGTGGGAGGGGGGGAGGGTAAGAACAAAAGAATACTTTCTACCCAGGCAAATTTTTTTGTATACATTTATATTAATATAATCAAGATATTTGGAATTTAATTGTGTCATAAATATTTTAAAAACTACCCAGAAATGGGAGGGCACTGGAGATTTAACTATAAAAAGGAACCTGAATAGCTCTCTAATAATATCTATCATATGTCTCATTTACATTTTTTGAATATTTATTTTTATGCGTTTTGTAAAATCATTTAACGTTCAATTCTTTAAATCTCCGGTTATTTTATCGATTTGCCCTGGCCATTATTTTTACTTGTTTATTTATTTTATTTTTTTCTGTCCACCCTGACACGTTGACCTTTCTATTGTATCATTGATATACATTTATAAATATTATATCCATTTTATTTCATTCATACAATAATATAAGGAAACTTGTTTTGGAAGGATTTCTACGTGAAAAATTACAAGTTAGCAGTTATGAACACGTCGTATCGTATGTGAACGCTGGTCCTAGATATTTAGAATTGGTGTCTGGAAATGTTAAAGTCTCTATTTTTTTCTAGTTTATTTCAAATATTTGTGATGTTTCAGGTGGAAATGGCTTTGCCCAAAAAATTGGAAAAGAAAATTCGAGCTAAAAATAAATGTGAAAATATTGTCACGGAAAATAACGATATCAAGAATAACCAATTAGATATCCAAACAGCTTGTTTTAAAGAACTTTTGGTTTTTTAAAATCTAATAAAAATTTATCTAAATAATATTTTTCTTTACTCATAGGAGCTCTGCAAAACTTTGGGCAAGGAACTCAAGACATCTTATATCAATATATTATCTGCAGGTATTCCCTTTTATTATTTATTTTTATATTTTCCTTTTAAAGTGTCACACAGAAATTGCGTATAAATAAGCGCGATTCACTCAAACGACGTGAAATTTTTTGCTGTTTTACATAATCAAGCCAAAAGGTATAATTTATAAATACTGTGTGACACTATTAAAATCGCAGCAGTTGTTTACGTATATATTGCAAAAAAATATTATCGCTCTGATTTTGCTAGCGATTAATTTTGCATCGCTCGAGCGAATCGCGTTTACTATAAACGCGGCGTCAGACTTGGTCCTGATCTACTTCTTAACGCTCAGTTTTTTTAATTTTAAAAGATAGGACGCTACATTTAAGAATTGGACCAGAATCAGACCTAAAAATGAATCGCTCGTAGGTAAAATTCTACATTTAAAGTAGATTATACTCATTACAATTTAATTATGCGAGTTACGTTTTTTTTACCTCTGAAATAGGTAATATTATCAAATGTATGTGTCTGAATTTAGGTTGTAAGCTTAACTAAATTTCACCCTCAAATTTTGTTCTCTTTAAAAAAAATTAAAACATTAGGCTGATAAAAATTTTTTATATACCTGTACAATTTTAACTGCGTTGGAATAATATAAAATAATTCGTATAACGAAAATACGTTACTGATTTGGTTAAGTTGGGACTACAAATTTGAAATGATACTTTACAAGTTACGAAGTAGAATGCTTTTGGAAGTTTAATCACTATTGAATAGTTAAAATGTGTGTCCATTTCTATTTCTTAAAGTCTCGATGTATTTATTCTCTAAAAAAATAAACATTGTTTTAGACGCTTTAAGAGAAATGTCCAGAATGTTGCCAACGACTAAAGAAGAATTAAAGCAGATCACTGGAATGGGGGCCGGAAAACTCGCTAAATTTGGCGGGAAATTTTTGGATGTAATTCTAAGATATCATCAAAAATTGCAAGGTAAATTTATTAATATTAGTTAAAGAAACTTCTGATTATAATTTAAAACTCAAAATTCTAAGATAACATTACTTTTTTTTCTATACTATAGAACTTTAATGTACTTTTGTAATAGAATATATCCCTTTGTAACAAAACAACTTTAGAAGTTAAGAATATTATCCTTGAAACTCAATAAAATTTGTTAAAAGATCCTAGGGAAATCTCCATTTCATTGCTAACATTTTAATGATCAGTTACAATTTGGATTGTTTTTTTTTTTTAGTTTAAAAAATTATTTACACTATTTATTCATTAAACCCCATATTTTGTTTTTAAATAATAATTAACTATATTTGTTCTCAGAAATGGGAACAATATTTGGGAATAATGATAATTCCCCAATTTATAAAGATTTTTTCTTAAAAAAACCCAAATTTAAATACAAGTGTTTACTTTCCTAGCATTTTTTAATTTCAAAATTACTTAAAAAAAATTCTGGGATATAAACTAAATTCTCTTTTTTAAGGGATTTAGAACTGAAACCTCCTGAAGATTGAGTCATTTTTTAGCCATTAGCTAAGCATACTCATTAGTATATTCCCTCATGAAGCCATGTCATTTACGATTTAACTCATTTTCATTTTTTATATAAATAAGTCTAAAATTCATTTATTTACTTATATTTATTCCATTAAAATATTTTTATTTTCTCAGAATACGAAAAACAAAATACACTAAAAAAGAATAAAAATATTTACACCAATCCCACCACAATCTCTCCTTATTTCGATTCCAGCAAACGCATTTCTAATAAAGAATCATGTTCTAATGCACAGAGAAAGAAAAGTGTAAGATCTGTTACCACGAAGAAAAGGTCCTCTGGAGATGGCATTGATGCCAGGCCAAGTTCTAGTACAAATAAGGGTTTTAAAAGAAAATTTTCTAAGGGACCTACTTATGGCTTCCAAAAAAAGAAGTAAAAGATTTTTATTTATGTATTATTTATAGAGCATTATGCATAAATGGCGGGAATATTCTATATAGAGTTCTAAAAAACATATACTATGCGTTAAAAATAAGTAGTTATATATTATGGCTAAGACAGAGATTGGCCCGAATTGGCATGTGAAAATTTTCAAAAAGGTTGTATAGCTTATTAGCCTGGCCCAAAATAATATTTGACACAACTTGCCTGACATAAGATATTTTGGCCTAAATTAATTTGCATTATTGAAGGTTTTTTTATTAAAAAAATTTAGACCAAGCTAACCCAAAAAATATTTTGCACAAGTTGGCTGGCCAATTTTAGCCACATAGCATTTATTTATTTACCCCATGTATTATAATATTAAGCTCTATAGGTGCTGGATCGTTTAATTATTACAAATTTAACATAGAACAATCCATTAAACAACCATTCATATATCTCATATTATTTTATTAGGAATTGGAAGAAAATGCAAGGCAAAAAGTCAACGGCCAATTCTCATCTCATGCCCTTTCCAAATAAATAATTTCCACTATAATCTATATTTATATAATTTAAATTTTAATATATTTATGAAACGAAATAAAATAGTCTGAACTTCTGGGTTTATATTAAAATTTAATTTCTTCAGCTTTGTATCGAATTTTTTATTTCATGATTTTTTCAAAAATCACCACCATGATGCTTTTCTAAGCAAATTGGTCAGTAAAAATATATGATTAGTATGTATAATATGTTTATTATAAATTTTTTTATAGCTAATGATGAATTAGACTAATACTTTTTTTGCAAATTTCTGTTTTATACAAAATTATTATATATATACAAAAAATCATCGTTGTGTGATCAGCCGATGTGGCTCTTAGTTAGAAATTTGTCCCCGTTAAAGGACAACAATTTCTAAGACCAATCTCTTATACGTATCTAAAGATTTTTCACCACTGGGTTTCAAATGGGTTCGAACTGAAAAGAAATCTTTTTGTAGGACTCTTACCGAGACGTTCCTTTCATAATATAATAATACGAACCTCCTACAGTGTTGTCGTTAGTTTTTCATTTGGGGAAATAAAATATGAATTATCAAAAAAAGGTGGGGAGCTATTTTAACATTTGATTAACAGTTTGCACAAATTCGTGGTGGAGAATATAAAAATACAGCGTATTTTGTATATTCACCACAAATTTGCACCAATTATGAATGAGGGTTTATAGAGAAAATATTACCTCGAATTTCAAAACATTTAATCTGATCCAAAGCATAAGAGTTGAAATATTTATAAAATTTCCTTGTGGGATAGAGTGCTACTCAAAAATATGCTCAGGCTGATGTTTATTGAGTCCCTCAATTGGAAGTAGTTTTACAATTCAAAACTCGACTTGAGTTTCGGCTTAGTCGACTCAGCTTACCCATTCAACAACATTTTATCATATTCTCTTTATTCCACATTTTATTATTTAAATCTTGTTGACGCATTCTTTACAAATATCAACGTATGGAATTGAGAGTGAGATAATGTTTTGAAATCTTTTACAATATAAAAGAGCCTTGCATTTTATAAAATTGAACGTTTTAATAGATTGTTTAAGAGACTACGTCATAAAAATATGGAATGACCATTCTTGATGATGAGGATCTTCATTTCAGTTGCTTAGAGAAGTGTGGGTAATTCAAATTTAAAGCGCCCCAATAATATCTCGTAATTTTGTGGAGATAGAACCTTTAAAGATTAAATTTATACTTACATTTGCATCCCTGAGCGCTAAAATAATATTTATGATAATTCAAACAACCATAACATTATATATAGATCCGGATACCACATTATAATAGATGCTATGGGTGTTAGGTAGTTAACTTTCACCCAATATAATAAACATAAATATATATAAATAATTATAAAATATATCTAATTAAAGAATATACTAATTTTTCATAATATAAATAATAACTATATATGTATGCTTTCCAAATTACTACAGAAACTTGTAGCCAATTTTAGTATATGAACGGGAAAATGTCAATATAATTTTAGGTATTCATTAATTTATGCAAAAAAATTGGTAAAGGTAATTTTTTTTATCGATATTAAGAAATTAATTATTAGTATTACCATTTGAATTTATTTTATAAATTTCAAATAAACTAACAATTTCTTTAAACTTAAATATTTTTGGTTACGTTTTAAAAATAAAGATTATGATTGGTTAAACAAATAGATGAAACTTTTATTATATAAAAACAATTAATATTCATTTAGGGTTATCGGAAATATTTCACTTTGACAGTGAACATAGAACCCTATAATAATAATTAAGTAGCGATATGTTCTAACATTTATATATTTTTAAATAAAGCTACTCTCATGTAATCTTAAAAAATAATAATTTATTTGTCTTGTTATGCATTGTATTTAAATATGTTTTATGATAATATAAATATAAATAAAATTGGCATATTTATAATTTGCTAATCTTTGTTTCGAAAACTTTTTTGATAACGTCAATTTTATAGAGATCGTCTTTTTCGTTTTCAATAAATGCGTCGATCATATTCAAAAGGTGTTGTTTTTTGCTGTAGAGGAAAATAAAAAAAATTTATATATACCGACTAAAGTGTGTTTTTAAGATGATAATCCATACAATAACAACCATAAATTGGAAAAAAAAGTTTAAATTATTTTTTGCTAATTTTTATTTAAACTTGATTGCATCGGCTTGAACAGCTACATTTCCTCTTAATTGATTGGCGTAGGTTCTTAGATGAGAACAAATACCGGCCAACATCAAGATAAAGTTCAATGAGGACGGCGACAAATATAGCTCCTCGGTTTCTCCAATTTTTAGGTTTTCTTCTATCAAAGTGATTTATTTAAATATATTATAGAATAATATTAGTAAAATAATTTTATTTAGAGAGGTTTCGATACTAGAGATAACGAAAATAGTAATGTCTATTTTAAAAAAAGCAAGCATCATTATATTTGTTTATTTATAAAATTAAATTAAGGGTTTAAAAAAATTAACATAAACTTTTTTATCAGTAGAAGAATTTTTAAAATTTATAGTTTGATGAGACTTTAAAAAATTTTAAATCTATAAAGGTTAATTAGTATTTTTGGACGTGTTTAAAAAATTTGTGCAAAAAATCGAGGCCGTGTCCTGATTGGTCTTATTTCTAGCAGAAGTTTGTTTAATCATCTATACAGCTTAACAGCAATCTAAAAAGAAGGGCTATTTAAATTTATGAATGCTACTCATTAAATTTTCTAAATAAGATTGGTACATATAGTAAATCAAGTACGTACTAATATAATTTATTTATAAGCTTAAATTTAATTGTGACTTGGACTGTAAAGTTCAAGAGTTAGTTAGTCATTATGAAAAATTATAAATACATCTATTCCTTTTAATAAGGCTAAAAATATCCAAATTTTTAAAATGATATTTAGAAATGCTTGAATTTTTAGGATATAATTACATAAAGATAATGAATGAATGTATTTTTTAAGGTAACTTGTTAATTTTATCGTTATAATATATCAAAAAACCCAACTAATCAGTTTAGTATTTACATTTTAATAAAAATAACTAGTTATATTTTTTGCACAATCATTTTTTTTACGGTCCTTGTATTAATTTAATTTTTTTAACCGATACAGATTGAAGCCCCAGAACTATAGGATTTCTAACCGGATATCAGTTAATAAAAATTAGGGATAAGTCAGTACTTGAGTCATGTAAATTGTATAACACAGTAATGTGAAATAATTATGTTTCTTGAGATGGTGAATTACCTTGCTCATCAAATTACACGACCAAAATATTTGAGACTTTTCCCCAAATTTTATTTTATCGGTAGTCGTCGTAAGTCCAGCATTACCAAATTGCATTTATATTTATTTAAATTATTTATGTGATCAAACCCTGTAGATTTTAGACAATTTTCTCATAAAGTTTTGAATGAATTTTAATTTAATTGATTTTGTATAGATTTATATATATCGTTGGCCTAGAATTGGAGTGCTTCACTTGCGCAAATGTTTAAAATGAGAAAATCAACATTAAAGTTTAAAATAAAATATAGGAAAACCTTATTGATCAATTTTAACAGAGCTATAACTTTTTGAAATACTATTTTTTTAATCTAGTTTTAATTTTCATATATATTGTGAATAATTAAGTTATTATCTACTTCGTTCTAACTCAAAAATTTTGAAAATGTCGAGTGGAGCACTCCAATTCTAGACCGACGATATATTATAATAATTAAATTCAACTTAAAATATGAAAAAAATTATAAATTAGGATCTCTAAAAAATGTTTATTTTTTTTAAATATTAATTGTATCTAAAAAAATTTAGGATAGAAAATTGACAATGGAAGCGCACAAGTGCTGCAATAGAACTCTTATAAAATCAAATTTTTAATAATAAAAAAAACGTGACTGTAACTTAAACTTGAAAGATTCCAACATGAATTCCGGTATTAAGTCATGTATAATAATATAAATTACCACTATTGATAGCTTTCTTGAGTATCGGATCAAAGCTTATGTCACTTCCGAGCAACGTTGTCTCTTCATCCCTGTTCACTTTATTCGTGGTTTGATGGAGAGAATAAAGGTGTTTGAGTCGTTTGAATACTGAGTCGAATTGGTTTAAAAGATGGGTAATTGTAAAAAAATGATCATCGTCGGAGTTTGGGTTATTTAGAATGCGATGGGTTAATTGCCACAGTGTGGGTGTAAATAAAGTAAGCACTATATCGAAATCAGAGAGAGTCGATCCCGTTGTTTCAAAATCGCCTAACAAAGGTAAATTCGAGGTTTCCTGAGTTAAGTGAAAGTTGGTAGGATTATCCTGTGATGGGACTACTTTTACATTTTTTCGAGACCAAACGTTGGAAGCAACGTTAACGTTATTACCCAATTTATTTTTGTCTAATAACAAGAAGTATTTTTCGTGGGGGATATTATTTTTGGTGGATAAAAGCACAATATATAGGTTTAGGTGAAAGAAGATGGCCTGAATTAAGGTCTTATCATCGGAAGTGGAGGTGAGTAGTAAATGCGGATCAATAATGTATCGAGAAATCACCTTATTTATATATAGAGTAATAATAATAAAATTATAATATCTATAATTTTAAGCAAATTGTTATGAGATAAAATACTTTATTGTGTTAGTGTTTTTAAATGTATTTTTAAAAAAAAATAATTACATTTCCAATGTAGGTATTAGAAAATAATTTTTTTTCATTCATAAACGATTTAATCGGACCAGAATACAAATAGCATAGAAAATCTTCTTGATTATTGAAATCCAACGCTTTTTGATTTTTAAAAGCTAAGGAAACCATTTCCAATTGAGTTAATGCGTTGGAAGGAATTTTAGGTTGTTCTTCGTATAAGGGAGGAGTAAGAGGATGAGGATTGCACATTTGAATGAAGGCGAACCATGTATAAAGCCAATCTAGTAGGTTGTGATAAAGATCGGACTCGATTTCACATTCATTTTGAGCTTATATATATAAAATATGGCACAGTTAACAGGTTGCAAATAAAAATTAGGCATTATGTTATAAATTTAATTTTATTTCTTTATCGACATGATGGAATTATATGCGGTAGCGTCGTTGAGGGGGGAGGGGGGCTTAAAACCTCCTGAACTTTGAATATTCTTCTGGAAAATTTTATTTTTTTGCAAATTTATTTAAGAAATTACATATTTATGCGAATTTAAAAATTTTTCAAAAATAAGAGGGCCTATGGACCCCTATAAAATGTTACAATAAAACTGTTTATTATTTTGATTTGTTTCATTCGCTTAATAATTTTGCAAATTTTATTTAGCTAAGTATACATGATATATCAATGATTTCACAATTCTTAATAAATTCAAAAAGGAACTTCACTTTGAAATCAAGTATGAATGAAAATATTTGGTTAGGAAGGTGTTTTAATGTGTTATAATCAGAACAATAAAGATTCTTACATATTTGATGTAGAAAGATAACTTTCATCTAAGTGTCTTATCAGATTAGCAACATCATCGGTAAACTAATGCCTTCTTTTAAATTACAGATCTTAAAAAAAATTAAATGTTGATTTTCCGATGTTACTCTAATTAATTTAAAAGCTTTATTTGAAATGTCTTCAACCCTCTCCTATATATCCCCAGAATTTCTACATAAGATTTCAACTGCCTTAGCTTGGGTTTCACTGAACATAAACAGGTTTTGCAAATGATATTTAAAAAAGATCTATAAGTTATAAAGAAATGACATGCATATGTTTCTGAATCTGATAAAGAATTAGGAAAAATGAATGAGAATGCAATCAAAATGAAAATTCTGCTTTAAATTTGCAAAGTGTCTATCATTCTATTATAACTTTTCGGACTGGGATTCCGAAAAAATGAATATAAATAGAACAAGATTATATGTTTTAGAATTTGAATTAACTTTTTAAAATTAATGACTAAATATTAAGTTTCTCAGATCACTTTGTCGTGTACGGTGTTATTAAACGGTTCGATTTTTGAAAACGACTAACCCAATATTTTAGCTAATATTATGCAAGCCTGGAAATTATGCTAATTATTTTTTTCTGACTAAAGTTTAGATTCAAAATTGGCTAAATCTCGTTGTGTTAACAATTCTATTTCTTCTTTTAAAGATTTTTATTTTACATTAGTATAGCAATTGCAATTGAATATAGGTAATAAAATTTTAATCTCAATAGTTACCACTAAGGTTCCTGATATAAAAGGAGCTTGTAGAATTGTGAAATCCGATTCTGAATACTGCTTATAATATAATTCAATTTAATGCAAAATTTTTTCGAGATGTTAAAACGCGTCATATTTCGTTTGCATATATTAATCATTTTAAGTCGTACTTTCCCGTTATATAAAGCAACATAATACACCTATTACTAGGTATAATTACCCTAATGCGGAACTTGGTTAACAAAATGTCATGAAATAAATATGAGAGGCATTAAGTTGTGGAAGTAAAATGAAATGTGATCTTAATCAGCATCACAAATTATCAATAATATATCAAATAAAGAAATATTTTAGATAAAAAAAGGTAGGGGAGGTGGGGGGGGGGGGTAAATGTACTTTGATATATATTATATAAAATGGCATAACATCTATTTTTACCGCACCATAATCTAATACTTACCCGATCGGAAGAGAGAAAAAGCAATCTCAATAATTGTTCTCACAATGCTCCATATTTATATTTCATCAACTAATAGTGAATTTGATAATTAAAAAAGTCAAACTATTTTATCTGGTATAATAAAATTTCCGAAGTGGCAGATTTAATAGTCAAAATATGGGGAAGCAAGTAAATATTCTATAAGAGCTAATTAAATTAAAAAAGCAAAATTGGTGGAGAAAACTTTATCTACAAGGGAAGTAACAGTTTAAAATATTTAGATTCTTCCTTCAGAAATAAATTATGATTTGGTATAACACCAGAGCTTAGAACAGAAATCGGAAACTATCGCTATTGGGTAAGGTGTAAGAGCCGAAATTATTTAAAAAATTTTATGGACTGGGAAACTGCCATTTGAAGAATATTCAGAACCTGAACTCGTTTTAATCTGGATTCTAAAAAAATTAGAATTGGATTAAGAGACCAGGAAAATTGGTAAGCCTATAGTATAATCTAAAATTATTTAAAAGCATAAATGAAAACAATAAATATCAGAAGACTCCAGCAGAGATCAAGAACAAAAATGATGGATGCTATGAATAAAATTATCATTAAATTTAATTATTACTAAATACATTTATCAACATTATTATATAGTTAAGTTATTTATTATACATCACATATAGTAACATTGTCATTAAAAACCATATAAGAATTTGTTCACAGTGTATTTTAATGGGATCCGGTATTATTATTTTTTAATCTATCTTGTCATCTAAATGTTATCAAATTATACCTTATCAATATGCACAAATTTTTAAATTATCATATCTTTCAAAAAATATATTAAAATGTATATATATTTTTTCCTTCCTTTAAAAGAAAAGATTCACCTATTCTACATACCTCGTTGAACACAAGATTCGGTAATGGCGGCACATATATCAAAATTTCCAACCAAAACAAAATGTCCATAAGTGGCTAAGCTTAAGACAATTTGACTTTTTATGCTGCTAGGGTTTTCGTGGTAAAGAGATTGGGCCAATTTGTAGCTTTTTGCCACGTGTCCAAGCATTATGTGGACTAAAATAGTGAGCCAATTTGGTTTCTTGATATAAAGATTAAAGATTTTATAAATTTAATATTATAAGAATTAAAGAGTTGTAAAAGCAACAAACTACAAATCGAGACATGCAAATATAAATTCTTCCGCCCGAAGTTTGGTGGCAATTTTTTTGGATCTAAGCCTGGCCCCTGAAACGTTGTAGGATTTTTAAAAAAGCTTATAGGGAGTATTTTCAAAATTCATCATATTATTCAAATATTCAGTAATATCTTTGATAATTAATTATTGTTTACCTATTTTAATTGCTGAATCGTAATTCGTTAAATTGGTGATTTATATAATTAAATCTTTATTTTTCTTTGCGTAGATGTATTTTTTATTAAAACTTTAATATCAATAATTATAACCGGTCTATTCTTTTCGAAAATGTCAGAATACTTGTTGATGAGGTGAGGTGAGTGACATGTTACTTCCACAGCTTCGATAGGTATGTTTATATTTAGCGTGCGACATCTATTATGGTCCGAAAATTTGGAGAGTTCTTGATCTAGTGAACCCTTTTAATAGAATTTTAATATCCTTAAACGGCAATGTATAACAATAATAAAAGAACCCTTTACACAATTTAAAATTATTGGTTAAAATATGTTAGAAGAGAATGGCGTTAGTGAAGTGAGGGCGATTAATTATGAATTATCTTCATCATTACTTTATAAAGGCCAAATGAAATAACGAAATAGTATTTGGTTTCTTTTTTTTTGAGGAAGGATATTAATAAAAATATGATACCCATAGAGAGAAATTAGTGACAAGATTTTATCCCAAGATAAAAGAAGATTTTTAATGGAAATGCTAAAAATGGGCAATTAAGACCATTTCCGCACAAGAAAACATGTTTATAAAATGTAAGTAACTCCTGCCATTCTCGGCAACTATTGAAGGGGTAGTGTTCAATGCAATCAAAGCAGTGTTAAAGATAAACGATCTTGTTAAATAACAATTTTTTTGTAAAAATATTCATGATACTATAATAATATTAAAAAAATTAGGGCAATTATTTATTTATTTGAGATTGGTGTAATAAATATATATTTAAATTTATTGATGAAATAAAAGAAAAGCAATTTATTTATGCAATCTTTCACAGTAACGGTTTCAAGAGGTAATGTATCCTTTTTTTTAAAAAGTAACACAAACGCAACAAGGTTAATTTTTAAGGAGTTACGTAGAATGGTAAAGACATTATTTCTTTGAGTAAACCATAAAAAGTATTAAAATCATTGTTCATTAAAGTTTATTGTGATCCCAAAATTATGAAACTCTGGTTAATAAAAATTAAATTCTAATTTTTTTAGAAGAATTAACCTTATGCCATGTAACCCTTATGAGAAATACCAAAGTCTTTTAAAATAAATAAAAAATACATCTTTCTATAGGAAGTAAACCTTTATATAAAAAGTTTTAAAAACCTAACATTATACTCAATAAATTTTTACTATTTAAAAAAAATGATTATTACATTGTATAGGGCAGCCGCAAATTGAATATATAACAATTGAGATTTCCTCGTCTCCAAATCTCCTCTCATGAGGTAGGTAGCTAATTTGAGCAAATTTTCAGACCTTTTCCTAACTTTCTCGCATTGATGATTTAAGACCTGTTAAAATTAGAAGAGAACGTATTATGTGTGTTGTTGTTATTGCGCATTTAAAAAACCTGTAATATTGAAAGGGATATATTTAAGTAATAATCTTCCGCGTAATAGTTTATTAAAACCGGCTTGAGATCGGCCGTATTGTCCATCTCTCTACCTTTGACATTATGCTTTGAACGATAATTTGATTTTTTTGATGACTTTGTTTTGACTGGCTGAGATAGATCGGAATTATTAGTCTTTTGTATCAACTCTTCTTCTTTCAGTCTGAAAATATATATTTAAATCAAAAATTAATTTTTTTTATAAGTTTAATTAAAAAAAATTGTTTAAAAACATTCTTTTCAAATCATGTTTTAAAAGGAAATGAGAATTTGAGAGAAAAATTTACCATAAATGATTGCAAGTAAAATTATTAATTATTTATTTAAAACATAGTTATAAAAATGTAATTTAATTTTACAATTACATTTTCGTAAGTTTTGCTTGTGAATTAGACGGAGTAATCAAATATAATTGAATGGCCGATAAAACTCTAATTTTGAATTTGTCGTATTGGGATATTTTATGATTTTCTGATAGAACGCGATCAAATACTTTAAATTTTTTTTAAATTCAAAAAGAAGATTAATATAATTTTTTAATATTTTATATCTAAAATAGAAAGTTCTCTAAATTTATATCTGATATGATGTATCACATTATACTTTTAAGAGACCATAAGCCCGTAATTTTTTTAAGAGTATAATATTTTACAAAATAGGTTGTAAAATTGGCTCTTTATTTCACCTCTTATTGAATAAATTCTTATGTATAATTGCTCTATTTTTAGCCGTTTAACCGACTAAAATATGGCGATAATCTAGTTTTAACAAAAATCTATCATCTTAGTTTAAGTTATTTCAAAAATATAGCAAGCATGCATATACGATTTCTATAGCCATTACACAACTATAACAATAAATATAAAAATTATTATTAAAACGTTTTTATCCGCTAGAACCTGCAAATACTTTAAGTAAGGAAGGGCACCTAAAGAAAATTTTTATCGTAAATTAAAATTATTTTATACTTTCTTCCTTTCCAAAATTGAGATCGTCGACTAAAGCCTTTTTGTTATCACGCATATTAAGTCGTAATTGGTATAAAGTTGAAACACATAGGGCGGACAAGCAATCGATGACTAAACGATCATTCGTGATTCCCCGGCTATAGAAATCCCTGAGAAAATTATTGTCAGCTTGGATGTGCCTTTCGATAAATTTTTTATCCTTATTTTCCTTGGTCCAAGATTTAAAAATGGTCTTAAAATCTTTTATGAGAGTCGCTACACCTCTTATATAAAGTCCCAGGAAAGTTTGATTATGATTGCATCCATTTTCTTGCCCTTCGAATCGCAAATTAAAACTGTGGTTAGAGGTGGCGGTTAAGGCAAGGAAACAGTAATGTTCTAGCAAGGCGGCTAAGGTCGATAAATTTTCGATACTTATCAGCTTCAGGTGGTCTGTATATATTATCCGACTGAACATGTGGTTAAGGTAAGATAGTTGTACAAGGTACTTTATCTTATGGATATTTCTTGCATCATTCGCATGACGATCATTGACTTTGGTATTATTGCTCACATTTGTTTCATGATTTTTAAAGGGAAATTGAGACAAAAATAATTCTAGGGCTCTAAAAAATAAATTTAAAAAAAAAAATAAATCATTGAAATAATTCTATTATTTTGTTAATTTACTCGAGCGTTCCAATTTATTGACTTAAAATGATAACTATAGTTTTTTTAAAAAGTTACAAACCTGCCACTGTGAAAAACAATGTCCCGCGTATTAAAAGCCATGGTTGTGTAATCGCTGGACGTGTCGCTATCAGTTTTACTATTTGTTTCATAACTATTTTCCTCTTCGATGTGAAATGTTACGTGAGAATTACCGTTTAGATTGAAATAAAGTTGTGAGTGTAGGTAATTAAATCGATAATCGAATGGGTATCTTACAGAAACCAAAGCTAGAGCGTCTAATTGAATTGCGGTGTAGTTGAGAATTCTATGTATCCGAAGACCGTCCTTGAGGATAGAATGGTGAGCTGTGTAATCCAAGTCTCTTTCAGTAGTTATCTCCCATTCATTTTGGGGTGTCAATGAATAATGATTGGCATTCGCCTGGGACTCGAGAGAGTGAGAGGAATACAGGCAGAATAGCTTGAGGAGAGCCTTGCCGCATTTTAAAACATTGTATTTCTGTTGAAGAGAAAAAAAAATATATCAAATTTTTCATATAGCAAATCTGTGCGAAACTTTCTATTTGTTTAAATAATAAGCTGAGAGTCTGATTATTCTATGGTCATGATTATGTGTTAAGTATTAATGAAAGGAATAAATCCAAAAAAAATACTATTTTGGGTATAAGATAAATTTTGAATAACATATTTTATTTAATTTAATTATTGTTTGATTATATAACAGTCCTTTTTAATTACCGATTATCCCTTTTTTTATTAGTGAAAATTTTTTTAAATGTAAATATTAGCTATTGGAAGCGTTTTTAGTTTTAGGTTTCGTTTAGTTGGCGCAATGTCGCTCAAGCGATACGTAATTTATTGCAAAGATAGCATAAGAGGTATAGTTTAACAATTATGTATTTTGTAAATTACATATGAGTACCCTTATGTTCGATCGATAGTTTGGGTAATTTTCTAGTAAAATTTATTATATAAAATTTGAAAGTAGTCTAAAGCCCATTTATAGTAAACGCGATTTGTTCAAGTGGTACGGTATTTAATGCTGTGGTATTACCAAAAGATGAAAACGCTATGATAAAATTTGAAAAAACATGCTTGACGTATATTTCAAAAATTATTTTCGCTGTGAAGAATCAGTTGTGATTTCGATAGTTAATACCGTACCATTTAAAAATGGCGTTAAATGGGGTGTATAGATTTTGATCGAAATTAATTTAAGGTATATTTATGATTTAGCATTATTTTTTTATTTACTAGTCCGTTTTTACCCAAATTAATTTTAAAAAATTTGAAAATTGTCCCATTATAAGAACATCGAGAATTTAAATATGTTAAAAGATATATTTTTTTATAAAAAGCAAATAAAATTCACTTTAAAATATAAATTGCTTGAATTGTATTAAATTCTTATAGTATAAAATATTATATAACAGAAAATCGATATCAGAATATTTTATATATGTCCGGTTTTTTAAGTTAAAATAAAACCAAAATATCAATTATTAAGATCAAAAATGATGGAGATATCGAAACTAGGGGTAGGTATGGGCCGCCAAAACCACGAGTGTGAATAAATTTTGAATTTTGAACAATGGGTGTGACGGGCTTTTCCAAAAAACCCGTGATTGGAGTGATTAGAAATTTTGCGTGAATCATGGATTATTTTTAAAAGTAATATCTTTAAAAACCTGACCTCATATTTTATAACAGGATTTTGCCCTATATCCAAAAAAGAATAATTTTTATAAATTTAACAAAATAATTTACTAAGCTATTAGAATTTTTAAAAATTTTTCATTTTTTTATTTTATAGAAATAACTTTTTCATTTATTTTTTTTTCATTTTTCATAAAATTCCAATAAAATTTTGTCAGCCTCAACCAGTTAGGTTTTCAATGAATGATTATTTTTTAGAACCAATAATCGTTTACTAGAGGAAAGACGAACGCAACTAAAATAAAAAAAAATATTGGCATTTTAATTTTTAATAAAGATTTTAATTTATAAATATGACTTGATTTAATTTCAAGTAAATTTTGAAAAATAAGGTAGAATTATAATATTTTAAAAAATAATCCGAGAACTTTTCAGGCGTTGATAATAGGGCTCATACCATCCTACGAGAATGGGCATAAATTTATTTTAGTGCAAGCGTGAGTGGGTGGATAAATAAAAAATTAGACCATAGCTCACCTCTAATCGACACGAGTAAAACGGGCTAATATTAATTATATAATTTCTTCAAAATAGTTATCTAGTAATATAAACGTTGTAAGAAAATGTGTAGGTATGTTGATACAAATCGATGGCTTCTTCATAATTTCCGCCTTTCTCGGCTAAAGTAGCTTGACCTATCCAGGCTTGGGAATATTTAGGATCAGATATTTGTGCTTTCGTAAACGATTTATTAGCCATCTTTGAAGATGAAAAAAAAATAGATTTAAATTATAATGTCTAAATTAAAACATTTTATGCTTGAGTAGAGCACCCCCACCCCCGTAGATTCTTAAATTGTTACTATAAAAAACCCTGTAAACGCTTTGACTTAGTTTTTTTCAGTAGCACTCTATTTTATGTTATACCATCCTGACAAGTTTCATCCATTTTTATTTATTGATTAATATTTGTAGGTAAAAAAAAAGTGCTTTTAATCTCTTATAATTAATACAGTATTCAAAAACTATTATTGAATATTGCATTGTTCTAATTGATTTTTTATAGTAAAAATATGAAACATAATATTTAAAACTATTTTGCATAATTTTTGACACCTTACAAAAATTTTGTTAAGATCATCATTTAATATTAAATCTTATATTTTTATATTCATAGTTAATTTAAGATTAATTAAATATATGTTTAATAAAATATCAAAATTTAGGTATTTAAAAAAGACAACTACTCAATTTTTACCAAAAAATCAGAGACTTGCAGAGGTACAAATTGCACGGCCCGGCCCAGATTTTTTTTCAAAAATTTTTTAAGGCCCGGCCCGGGTTTTATATTATAAGGCGCGGCCTGGCTTTTTTTTAAAAAAAATTTCAGTCTCGGCCCGGATTTTTTTAAAATATATTATATTTATTTTTATAGCTAATAATGGCGATATCAAATATTTAGTTTTAAAGCCCGGCCCAGACTTTTTTAAAAAAAATTTCTGGCCAGGCCATGGTAATTTTGTAAAAAAAAAATTCAGGCCCGACCTGGGTATATTTTAAAAAATCAAAATAGGCCCGGTCCGGCCCTAAGTCCGGCATGTCTCTGTAAAAAATATTATAAATTTGAATATTTTTATTTTGAAAACAAAAATTAAAAAAATTATATAATCAATTACATCATACTGAAAATGTAATGAGTCTTAGTCCTCATTTATAGTGAACGTGCTATTCAAACGTTGTGTTATTAATGCAACGTTATTTACAAAATCAAGCAAATAAATAAGTATACATTATAAATATTGAAAGTTATGTTGATAAAGCTATGAAAAACATATGTTGCCACGTATATTTCAAAAATTATTACCACTATGAAGAATCAGCTGTGATAGCATTAAATAAAGCAAAGCTTGGACATAATGAGTCTACTATAAATGAGGCCTTATTCTTAATATAATTATGTATCATATCTTAAAAAATAAATTCTAAAAAATGCCATATATTTTTAATTTACATCTTGCTTTTTGAAGGAAATAGTTTCTTAACCTTTAAAATATTATGATTTGCATTTATTTAAAAGTGTTTTATATGTCTACCTAACCCACGCTAGTAGTATAAATATAGTTGCTTTATACTTTATATTGTATATTATAATAAGTAATTTGAAAATAATATAAAACTACTCTTCCTTCCTTCATTTCTTTCTCTCTCTTTCAATTATAGAAATAGAATATAATTATTTCATTTCAATATTCCCTTTTTAAGAGGCACACATTAGTACTTTATTCTTGCTACCTGATCTGGTGTGACCCAGGTATAGTTCTTGTGAGATGACAAAACATGATATGAACTATGGTACTGGTTTGATTTAGGCTATAGCTAGTCGATGACATGACAAAGGTTATATTAAATATAAGAGTCACTACATAATGAAAATAATGACACAAGACATCCCTTTCCTTTATTTTGCGCTTATTTACCAAACCTTATCATATTCCCTATATCTATTTAAATTTAAATTTGTAACCTTTCCATCATTCTTAAGTAAGTAGAGAACGCCCAAATTAGAAGTAAAGATGGGTTCGTTTGAATCAATTTCGTAACATCTACTGATTGCTTCTTCTGACATTTCATAATTACGGATATCTTAAAGGAATATCAAAAGAAATATATAAATAGTTAAGAAATACATTTTGTATTCGACAAATTAAATTCTTAAATAGGTAAGATTCATGGTAAAGTTCGCGTTCCGTCTACATTAGAATCTTAAGGGATTAACTAAGCAGATGGGAATGGTGTTACACTTTATATATACCACAAGGCAGAGAATTAGCTTGGGTTTATAAAATGTAATGACGGTTTTGCCGCCATTATATTCTTAGGGACCTCCCATTACTCAAATGGAAATAAGAAAATTCAATCAATATTTTTTTTTACACAAATTTCATTTTATTTGGCTTAAAAATTATAAAAAAATAAGATCAAATGTATTTAAATTATATCAATTAATCAATTCGGGAAAATTATATTGCTCATGTTTTTAATTTCCCATGCAAAAAATTTAAAAAATTATTAGAAACAACAAAATTTTTTAAAAATTCCGCCGGCCCGAGCCAAAAAATTTGAACTTTGCTTTTATCAAAAACAATAAATATCTATAGTCTATAACAATATGTAAATTAAAGTCCTGAAAGCCAACCCGAGGTAAAGTCATTGAAATATAGATTCAGAATGTGGCTGGAAAGATATTAAGGTTATAATTCTTTCCTATTCTACATTTTTGCCTAAATGAATATGACAATTATTTTTTTTTAAAAAAGTGTTAAAAAAATTCAGGTGAAAAATGTTTACTATTTATTTTCATATTTTTTGTAATAAATAGTATAAATGTAGATAAACCTCATTAATTATCTTAGTTAATTCTGAATATTTAGATTTGAATAATATTAAAATAGAGGATAAAAATTTTATGTTTAAGATTTCCTCCCTACTAAGACTTTTTTTATATTCAAGCCACACCACAGGCCGCAAAGAGCTTGGCTTAGATCTTAAAGTATTTTGCTCTTAGGTAGCAGGCGGAAAATTTTTTGAATATGCAGGTCTCTTATGTAAATTATCAAAAAAAATAGTTATTTGATATAAATGTTAGGTTCAATTCCAATATTAACCAGAGTAATTTTAGCTGAAGGCTTGGGAAAGAGAACAATATTTTCTACTTTTGTTTAAAAAGGCGTTACTAGGTAAATTGGGATGAAGGTGCAACTTGACGTGATAAGGAAATATATTATAAGAGAATACCACCTTTCCCAGTTTATTAGTTTAGTTATACTAGGGATGAAAAAAAAAATTAAGATCACTGATTTAAAGAAGAAAAAAAAGATGGCTTATTTTAAAAATTAAAAAGCAAATTATAAGATAGCAGATCAAACCTTTAGATGCGGCTACAACACCTAGAATATTGATGACGTATTTATTTAGCGGGCAAAGTTGAGCAAATTTTCGCGAAAATCTATAAATTTTCGATTCTCCTTTAGTGGTAGGTTGTATTTTTGCCTGGAAATGATCGTACAACATAAGCGAATGTATAGTAGCAGTCCAAAGTTCGGATATATCGGGCTTAAGCCTGAGGGCCATACTATAAAATCTTTTTTTTTAAATGTTTTCAGAAGCAAATTTTAATTTCCGGAAACATATTATTATTTTTAGAAAATTTTTACTTGCAAAACCATTTTTTTTTTGAAAAAAAAAATTAAAATATTAAGGAAGTTGAATACACACAATAAATCCACTCCATCAAAGGAGGCTGTTTAAAGTAAGCTATATAGGGACAAATAGACTACTGTTTAGAAATATGACAAACCAGTACTCGACCTTAGAGCTTTTACTATATTAAAAACGAATTTTAAAATATGGTATAAAAATGTATGTTTGATCCGAAGAATTAACAAAAACAACTCCATCTATTTGAATAGACACATTATAAATGGTAAAGATTAGTTATTTTGATATTGTAAATTACAAATTTTATTTAAATCAATAAATAATAAAAATGAATAAGAATCATTTAATTCTGAGGAAGAAACGATAAAATTTTCAGCAACAGTCATTTGTAGTAAATTTGTTTTAACAATATTTTTCTAATATATTAATATTTATAATATTTTGAGAAATAGTTGATATGGACATAAAACATCTGGATCATTACAACATATTAAGGGTATATTCTTATAGTAGGGGAAAGATAGGGAGATACTTTCAATTGGGGTAGTACAAATTTTTTCCATGAATTGAATAAAGTTATCAAAAATTGTATTTATTACTTTTCTTGTTCTCCTGTAGAGCCTAAACATGGATACCTTTTTATAAACGATTTTGAAATATTTCTCAAGGCAAAAGAATTCTTAGCATATCATTTATTGAAGCAAGGTTATGAAACAAATACAATTCTGGTGAACAATCTATGATTGAAGAGACTTTTAGGGGAAAATATGTAGCCCTTATGAGATTTTTTACACAAATACATATTTAAATGTATTGAGACATGATTTCCTCAAATAAATTTTTGCTTATTTATATTTTTATGCTTTTAATATTGGTATGAAATTAATAGAACTATATGTATATCAGTCTGTGATGGCAATCAATAAAATAACTCCGTCATGCTTTTAAATTATAAGACTAGTGAATATATAAAAATAATTATAAATTATATTTAAATTATAACTTCATTTTTTAGGCAAAAAGCGTGGTTGTTAATTGAAAAAATATCATTACAAAACAGCCTCTATATATTTTGTACTTAAAAGTTGGTTAACCTTTTGTAAGGATAGATTACTAATTATAAATAAATTTGGGCAAAACAAAATTCTCCTTACCGATTTTTCTCATTTAACCGATAATAGTTAACATTATTCAATTAAAAATTTTAGAAAAGGGTGCATTTTTTAATATTTAGGAAGTATTGCATTTAGCCGATTGGTAAATAAACGGTTTATACTAATAAAGAAAAAAAAGTGTAGATAGAATTGAGTGAAATGTTATCTGTCCATTTTAAAAGGAAGCGTAATCCTAAAATTTTATTTCTAGCATCTAGTCTGACTCTCATTACTAGCTCAATGATAAACCCCTTCTAAGTGTTGCAAATATTGTAATAGACATCGATGTATTAATCGATATAATATCTAATAGGAGCTCTGACCGACAAAACATAAACCAAAATTAAAAATATTAAGTGCACTTGTAGGAAAGGGCCAGCAAATCTTGTAAAGTGAATTCTATAAAGCCATCCATTTTTGTCCGATTGTTTTTATCGCCACAATCATCATAACTATAACTAGGAATTTTGACTTTCACGCCAACTGGTAACTGATGTAATAAGGAGCATGCTCTACCGGCTAATATCCAAAAATGGGCCCAATTCAAAGGCGTGTATAAATCGTTGAGATTTGTCTAAAATATTTTTTTAATTATTTTACTATTTTACTAGAAACAAATATCATTTAAAAATGGCTTTTCCGTTTAATTTTTGATTTTAAATTATTTACCAGGCCGTTTATAAATAAATTTAGAAATGTAAATCGCTTTTGGCGCCGCCATTTTACCCGTGGTTAAACAATATTTAACATTTTAATAGTAATTAATATTAAACTTGGCTAACCATATCGTTGGTCAATTTGGTAGAGGTTTTACATTGTCCGGGATTAAAATTTACGTGATCAAATGAATTATCTTTCTGCGGCATTAGCAGCAGAATTCCCCTCAAAAGTAAACCGAGGGCTCTCGAGGTGCATTCTTTAGCCTTAGCGTCAACGTGTTTATTCAAGCTTTGCATGGATAAATCAACGTAAGTTTCGGCGAGACCTAAATATTTTAATGCAAAACAAACGAATGACACCCATCTATCAACCTAATATCATTTAATGTATTTAAACCGTATTTTATGATATTGTTTTAAGATCTTAAACCTATAAGCGATGGATGGTAATTAGGCCTTTTGTTCAAGATTCGTTCAAAAGCAGCGACAGCCTTCAAATGCTCACCCATCTTGAAATCTATGATGGCCAATTTGTTTTTGTAGTATAAAATATTTTGATCATCAACCACAGTTTGAGGTGGTTTATTTGAAGTACTAACGTGCTTCAGAACTTCCTCAAAAGCCTTCATCGAAGCCTTGTAAGATTTATTGTAAAAATAAGCTTCAGCTAAGCATTTCCATGATACTCTTTTCAATATAAATATAAATTATTACTTTTAAATTAGCTGTTGAATAATGCGGAGTAGATAGATCATATTAGTTATATTTATACTAAAAGAGTAATGAATAACATACTGTAAATCAAATCTAATTGAAGCAAAAAACTTATTTCTTGGGAACCAACTAAAATCAATACCCATAAATGATATCGATGAGACCATTGTTTAAATAAACCAATAAAAAATTATAAGTATGTTACAAAAAAAACTTAAACCAAAAAGCTTCATTTAATTTTTTATTTATAATTATAAAAACTAAATATTAAATTTATCAATAAATAATAAGAGAAAAATATATATTAACGCACAAATCATTAGGCTCTTGATGAAAAACTTGCGTGAAACAATGAATCGCAAATTCGTAGTGACCACTTTGTAAATTGTATATTCCCAATCTTCTATACACCCAGCTAATCCTATAAATATTTTTTAAACAAAATGACATTATAATAAAATGTGATAGTTGTGTGATATATAATAGATCTGCAAATAATGCCCCGGCCTGTACCTGGCCGAGCCTGGCCCGAACAAGTTTCAGGCAGGGTCGGGTCTATTTAAAAATAATAATTTCGGTTCGGACTGGGTCGGGCCTTTTTTAGAAATTTTCGGGCCAGGTTGGGCTTAAATTCTCGAATATGATATCATTACATTTTGTCATATAAATTGACATATTCTAAAATTCTTGCAAGAAACAAGATGCTAATATATTTTTATTTATATAATATTTTACAATAAAAAAAATTAAATTTTCTATATTTAAATAAATTCGGGCGGACAAATAATTTTTATTTTGGGTAGGGCTTTTCGAGGCAAATTAAAATTTGTACGGGATCGGGCTGGGTCGGAAAAATTTTTCTAAAAAAAATTTCGGGCAGGTCCGGCTTAGGAAATTGGACCCAATGCAGATCACTAATTTATAATGTGAAAAAATATTAGATATAAGGAAAAAGAAATATCAACATTTAAAAAATAATGTTACTTAAAGTCCTTTGAAAGTTTATCGTATACCTCGGTGAGCCTTTCTAAAAGTTTATGATAAGATTCCAAATCTCCCGTATCGATGTAAGCGTCTGCTAGTAGCTTCGATGCTTCAAAATGCTCGTATTCATAGAGATCGCAAGCTCGTTCTAGACATTGCTTAGCCTCGCTATGATTGTATATTTTGCATATTGATATAGGGAAGAAAATGTTTTTTTTTATATTGGTAATCTGAAAATAAAATACTCTATATTTTAAATAGCGGCTAAAATATATTTTCATTAATAATAAAAATATATGAACTTTCTCAGGATTAAATAATAAAGTTTTTTTAAAAAGGGACGCTAACCCCAGGGATTAGACGCTCGGGAAATCTGAGCACATAGCTCCAGAGATTTTTTTGGAAAGGTAATATGTCAGAGTGGAATCTTCGGTGTCGGAATTATTTTCCCGAGGTTTTTTATCAATTAGGAATTATATTATATTCATTCAAAGTATAATTGGAATCATGCTTTCTAAATCTATCAAATGAAATCGCTATGGACAAAAAAAAGGTAGTTTTGTTGCGAGCAATAAGCAATCAAGAGCTTCATAAAATATAAACATTATTCGCTCCAAAGCGATTAAATAAAATACAGCGATATAGGCATAACTAAACATCATCAGGAGCGAAGCAACCCGTTGTAGGTACTCTACATACTAAGATTCATTTCCGGGAAAATGAGATTTTCAAACTTTAAAATCATCCGTAGTGAATGGTTTAAAATTGAGAGATAAGAATTACCACGGGAGTATTTTAGTCCTCGTTCTTCCGATAACTTACCACATATACACCTAAATATTAAAAAACCATCTCAATACAATAGTTATTTTTTTTAATATTTAATAAATGAATTTTTTTTAGTATATAACGCCAACTAACGAACAATTATTAAATTTATTTTTAAATATATAAGTGGGACATATAAATTATGAAATTATATCATTTTTTTAAAAATGAAAAAAGCAAAGTTTCGCTGACCTATCCAAAGTTCATCCGAGTATTAGGTGGCCATAGCTAAATATCGAAAAAAAAAGACTATGCCTAATAGCCATAACCAATTTAAATAACTTATGATTAATAGCCATAGCCAATTTTAAGTATTTCTTAAATAAAATTTTAAATTATTGTAAATAAATTATTTTATAATTAAATGTTATTTTTGTTAGATAAATAAATGAAAATTCTTTGTTTAAAATAATATTTTATATATCTTCAATTCTTCCCCCTGATAACCTTCAATGAGAAGATCATTTAAGCGCGAATTCCAAACGAGAAAAATTTAATAAAGATAAAAGAATTTCTTAAGCCCTCAAGATGTTAAAAAGTATTATATATAACCTAGAGTCTCTTTCTTGATTTTCCAAAAAAAGAGGGCCAAACATTTCTGTGACGAAAACTAGAGGAGTGAGTAATATAATTTTGGCTAAAATCTCGATATTTTTAACAACACACTTCTAAATGCCCAGTGCGATTATATCTTATATATTGTGTATCATAATATTTCTCTAAAATTTTTTTATTTCCGAACCACATATCTCATGATCATTTTCAAAAAATGGCAAACTCTAAAATTAAAAAATGTATATATTTAATAGCGGCCATAAAACACTCAATTTTTTTTAAAAAAAGATTAAGAGATAATAGAACGGCAATCTTTCGAACAAATAAATTACTTTTTTTAACCTCATTCCGCAATACTAAAATCGGAACCTTCCACTGAATCTAGATCTCTGTTTTTTGGTTATTATGGAGTAGACTAAAATAAAAATAATCAGCAAATTCTAATATCGGTTTCTTCAAAAAAACATTAAACAAACAAGCATAATTGACAAAGATAAAGCTACCCATTCTCGTGGCCGGTACAATGATAAAAGTGCACATTCCAATCTATTTGATTTGGCCATCACCAGCCCCAGATGTAATTTAAAATATTTACCTTTATTTTTAGGGTCATTCAAATCTGTTGATTAAAGGTATAATTATCATGAAAACATTTTTTTCTCAATTCGTCACAGTGCATCGAAAGTAAATAATAGGAAATATATTTAGAGAACAAAAAAGTTTTAAATCTGGACTATTCCGGTTATAAATATTTAAACAATAAATAAGCCCTCTAAAATGATTCGTACAAAATTTATACTTTATATTGTTAGCGTCAATGTGTTATTTTTTCAACTTTAAATCATTTTTTGAACAGGTTTTTTTAAATTTAAAAATCTGATTTTACCTAAATGTATGAGGTCATGTTTGGAATACCTATTTTATGAATTTGAGACAATATTTCCATGGACATTCAAACTTATTATAATTTATCTTAAATTTTGCATATATTTTTTGTGTAAATTATGAATGACTTAAAAGTTAACAGCTAAATTTTCTACAAAGATAGGTTTTCTAAACATGATGGAATATATTTCCGGTAAAATCAGATTTTTAAATTTTAAAAACGCGCTCAAAAAATGATTTTAAGTAGTAATAACACATTGCCGGAAAAAACCATTAACGCTAACATATATATTTACACTTTTTTGTTAGAACCAGTTCATGAAAATTTTAAAAATAAGTTCTAGCTCTGAATTGCAGGTGTCCCGTTTCTAGATCCCAAGAATTCCAGGTACTGGTTTCAATATAATATTTATGAACTTATCTTGTTAATGTTTTTTTATTATATTATTTAACCAAATGGCCGTGTCACTGGTTTAACTTATTTTTAATACTTATTTCTGTAAACAACTTTTGAACTAAGGCACCCTATTTTGGTTTGTTTTAAGTGTTTGGTAGCATTATTTTTCATTTTTTTCCTCAAATTTTTATAGGCTGAGCTATATTGCTAAACAAGCGGCTGGTTAGTAATAAGTCGAACCAGAACATACACTCTATGGGATATTATTTATTTAGGTTGTTATTGTTAATAGATAATTATTTTATTTTGATGTCCAATAATATTACTAGCAAATTAATTCGCATTTGATAATTAAATTAGATTGATTTATTTTTAGTTTATACTCCTTTTAATTAGATTGGAATTTTATATATATAGAGAAATATGTCACATAAAAAACAATAATTTTGTTCAATAAAATAAAGGTCAATTTTCTTATGAAGACTAGACAATATTAATCTTTAATATGAATACATTCAATCTATTGCGGATATTAAGAACATTTTTTACTAATCCCTAGATTATATAATTAACTTAATTAATTTTTAGAATCTATTTTTTTTGGAAATTTTTGATAGAGATCTGCAAAAGTAGTCCATGCCTATTTTTTTAAAAAAGAAATCGATTTCGGGTTGGGTCGGGCCTAATATTTTAAAAAAAATTTGAACAAGGTCGGGTGGGGCTTTGGAATTTTTTTTTAATATATCTAAATATATCAATTTTATGTTAAATTTTTAATGAATAAAAATATTTTATTTTATTTATTAGAAACTAGATGCCATATAACATATATCTTTTATTTTGAGTAATTATAAAAATTAATTTCTATAATGTAAATAAATTCGGGGTGGGCCTGGCTGGTTTTTTTTTAAAAACGAGTATATGGTAAGATAAGGGTTACATTTGTTTCAGATATTAAGTGCTAGGAGTTATTTCGTCATCTAGGACGAATCTAAGGAAGTTTAGAATTTCATACAAGAAACGGTTAGATGAGATGAAAGCTTATATGGATAGGGGAAAAGGCAAGAGGATGATAATCCCACAGTATTTAATAAAAAAAATGGCTATGAGCCAAGTGAATCCAGTAATTTAAATCTAAAGTTATTTCAGCAGATCTTTTATGGGTGAAATACCTTTGTTTCTGAAAATAGGAGAGAATCCCATCATAACGTATTAGGAATATTATTTAAGTATTTTCTAGAAGAGGTGTTAAAGGCTTCAAATTATATAATATGTTCAAAGAGTTAGGGCTAAAAGAAAAATTATAAACTTTAAATAGTTCACGGCATGTTCGTCCTTCAAAATAGCATGATGATTGTAAAGGCACAGGTAGCAACGCCCCAGTAAAAAGTAAACGAAAGGAGAATATGAATCAATATCAGTGCAAACGAATAAGGTTTCAATTACATTTTCCCTTTTTGGACAATTATTATACTCCAGGTAGGGAATCGTATCTTCTGAAAAGGAATCTAATTGCTTGATGATTACATCGACTAAATATGTCCTCGCCTCGAGGAGTAATGGATACTCGACAGAGTCCAATTCCAGTGCTCTTTTAAAACTGTAAGAATAGATGTAATATTTTTTATTAAAGAAATTGATACTAAGGAGGGAGTGATAAAAATAAAATAAATATATGACCAATAATTGTAAAATAATTGTAAAATAAAAAAAAACCTTTCCACAGACATATCGAAATCACCATAGTTATGTTGACACACACCTTTTAATTGATAATATTCGGCAGGTATATCATTCGGATATATTTCTTGAAGATCTTTAAGGGCCTTTAGTAAAATAAATGAATAAAATACTATTTTTTTAATCGTGTATTTAAAAACCATCTCATATTTTTCCTTCAGTCCTAATCTAGAATAACAAATGGCTATATATTTTTGAGTAGTAATTTTGGCATCAATATTGCCTCTATGACTTATCTAAGATAAAAAAGTTAATAATATTAAAAATGTATAAAAATTATATCAAATGTGTGTAGTTTAGGAATATAAAGACCATGGGACCTGGCAATTTTATAGATGGGTGCAATTTTTTTGATGTTTATGGATTATTCCATGTGAAATAGATCAAAAAATATGATTTTTGTGGAACCCCTTGGGATTTGAATTTTGAATAAAAACTAAAATACATATAACTAGAGCAGTGTTTAAATTTTGGATCCTAGCTTTTATATATTTGGAGATATCAAGGGTCAAATTATGAAAAATGTTATAAGCTTATTGATTAACATTTAATTAATGATTTACTAAAAACTTCAGAATTATAAATATTTTTCCCAATCTAATAAGGTATTATAATACATATTCTACATTTCTAAATATTTTTTTTTATATTATTATAATGTGATGGATTGCTATTTTTGAAAAGGAACCTATTTTTTAGTCAACAATTTCAAAATAATCTCTTTTTTTAGATAACAATTTCAAAATGATCTTTTACAAAGGAATTTTTTAAAAAAATTTCAATGGGTTCTACAAATTCCTCAAGGAGCTTGAGTCCTTATGTCCTCTTGTGACACTACTGGGTTTAACTATAAAATATATTTCATACTAAACAAAGTGCTAAAATGAGATCCAAAACCTAGGTTTTAACCTGCCAAAGCATATATGGACCAAACCAATAAATATGAACCTATATCTAACTTGGATAAAATTTGACAGGTCCCATCCAGAACAAAAAATATTAATTATTTAATATCAATATTTTATAATTCACAAATATAATAAATTAAACATTTTATATTACTTTTTCAACTTCTACGAGTGCTTTTTTAACATATTTATTATTATGGTCATTCTGTTTCATTAACCAAATTTGGCAGCATAAAAAGGCAAAATGATCCCAAAATACATTCTGGCAATTAGGTGATTCATTTTTACAAATAAAAGCTTATATACAATATTAACAAAATTTGAGAATATAAAATAAACCCTCATCACAAATTTTCTCAGCACTTTTTAAATCCCTCACGATTAAGTATATGTTTGCCATGTGGTATAAAATTTCTGGATATGTTTCATTAGTGTCATTATAATCTAATATTTATAAAAGTATTGATTATACATATTTATTTTTGTTCACTTTCCATTAAAATGTTTAAAGCTGAGATATAATCTTTTTCAACATTATATAATTGATAGGCTTGAACTAATTCTACAATAAATGAGGTGTATAAACTTTCTTCTTTGCCCTTTTCCAACAGGTTTACATACTCGGCAAACCTTGGTGCATCTTCTAAAAAGGAGTCTAACATAGAATAAAATATGCAAATTATTTTTTAATGTTATCATATTATAAGCTATAACTTTAAGAAATGTAAAAAATATGTAATTGTTTTTATCAGGACAGTGAACCTGTACCCAGAAATTTTACTGAACCAGGCACTTGTAATGCTATTATTTTAAATTATGTAATATATATAAAATAATCATTATCATATCATAACTATAACTTTAAAAAATGGCAAAAATATTTAATTGTTGATTTTATCAGGTTGGTGTTATACTGAACCAGAATCTTTTATTAAATTAGGTTCAGGGTTCAAAAATTTTTTTTACTCATTTAATTTTTTTTAAATAATAAAAAAATTTGAACAGTATTAAAAAATATATATTTAAAAAATAAGATGTAAAATAATTGTATTTTTTATTTTCAATATTAAAACATTTTTTATGAAAATCCTTTTTCTTTGAATCATTTATTATCTTAGCCCACCCATTTAATATAAATTTTAATGTTTTCTGGACATCAAGCCCTGAACCCAAACCTGGTTCAGAGATTCACTGAACCCAAACATAAACCTTTTTTTTAGAAGGAGGGTTGATTTTATATTAATTATAAAACTTACCAGGATAATAATTAATATAAAGTCTACACAATGTTTCAACTGTTTGATAATCATTTTTATTTTGAGATATTACATATAAACATTCTGTTTCTAATTTTTCAAATGTACTATGCTAAAATTATAAAGCTTGTATAATAATTCAACTTTTATATTTTACTTCAGCAAAATATTTTAAAGCCTCATGGCTCCAACTATCATAATCAAAATCATTAGGATATACATCCATGTGTATCATGTTTGTATAATATAAGTGGAGCTATCATATTATTAAATTAGAAAAATCCTATATTAAAATACCAGATCATGATTAATTGAAGATATATTTGAATTGCTTTTAATTATTTCTATTATGTTAGTTAGTGGTATATATTGCTTGTTAGGTTCTATCTTAGTCATAACCTCATTCCAAAATTTTATACCCTTTTAGTTCATTCAAATTAATATTAAATAAGATAAAAATTACATATTCATATAGCATATGCTTCTGAGTTATTTTAGCGAGTTTAATAAAATTATCAACTTGGTTATTTTGCCTAAAATATATGTAAATAAAATTGAGAATAAGCATAAGTTTTACTTATATATTTCACATTCCAGGATATCGATAATACCCTTAATCTTTTCTAAATCCAATTTGTTATCTTGGCTTAATGTGTTCTAATAAATATTTTATAAAATGCAATATGAATAACTATACATCAAGACGAATAAATGCATTTTCCAAATTTTCCCCATCTAAGTTTAAATTCATAATTTTTTTTTAAACTCGTTTTGTTGGATTTTTTTAATGATTGACATATTACTTGACGTTTATGCTTCCCTTTAATTTTTTATAATAAAAATATAAAAAAAATTTCACACAATTAATCTTTTTTTAAAAAAAAGTAATTTAAAAAAACAATTATGGTTACATCTTGTTTTAGGAAAAGAAATTTTAAATATTTCTACATAAATGATAAATATTATCGCATAAGTTAGAGAATTATCTAATAAATACGAAGGCCTCAAAGTCCATTTATATTTGACTGTCCAAGCCGCTTAATTGCATGTCGCTTAAGCACAAACACTTTTAAATGAAAACAAACTTCCATTTTGTTTTGATTTACTATAGCATATTTTTAAATGCAAATCGGTTAAATGTAAGATATCAAATATTTGAAAAAATTTATAGATCCTATTTATATGGTAATATTTTTATTTTTATCAGATAAGTGCGAAAATTTGTCACTTCATTTTTTGAATTAATTTGATTTAAAAATTTGTGAATTTAGCTTTCCCAGTTTATGTCAAATTTACAATTCATTTTAATAAAGTAAAAATGTAAAAATATTTGGTGAAATTATAACTAATTTTTTTAGCTGAGGTAATTAATGAACCTGAACCCTCAAAAAATTTACCTATTGTATATAAATATACCACCAGCAAAAAATAAGGGAAGCACTATTTAGCATGGTTTAAACAAATGCTGACGGTAAATTGTAGCATCAAATTATTGACTTTATTATTTATCGTTCGTTGGCAATGAAGATTTTTAAGTTATTCACCTTTTATTATTTTGTAAAAATATAATAAAAAATTATGGCAAACGAGAATCTGTTGGGTATTTTTAGTCATAAAATATTTTTACAAGATAAGTGGTTAATTTTAATAAAAAATATAAGCCTAGAACAAATATGAAATATAATTTTATTAGTTTATATAAAATATAGTAAATTACTTGTATATACATTAATATAAAGGCATGGTAATAATTTATTCCAAACAAGTATAAGAAATTTATTTAGAAAAAGTAAGTAGGTATATAGTTGATATTCCTCTATTATATAGAATTAGTTACAAAATACTAGGTAAAATTCCATTTTTAGAGACATATTTGACAGTTAGATAATATATTACAGTTAATAATTTAAAAATTTACTAATCAATGCTCTTGATAATAAATATAGCAACAATTTGCATTCAATTATTTCACGCCATCTATTTATTTTATATAAAATATTAAAAATTAATCTTCATATAATTTATCCCACAATGTCTTTAAAAGATATTTTCTGATGTCCTTATCAATATTTTAGAGTTTTCTAATATATAATTCGCTATATTGGTAAAGATTACTTGATTGTCATATGATAATTGATTAGATATACTTTTAACTTTTTTATTTAATTTATGATTTAATTTTATCAATAATTTTATAATTATATTTTACTTTTATTAAAATAAATAAATTAAAATTACTCACTTTATAAAAAATTATATTTGATATATTAAAATTTTTGATATATTATATTATTTAGTAATTTTATGGAACTATTTTTAATAATTATAATACATTTCACTTTTGTCTTAAGACTTATCTTATATTTCATTTCTTAAAAGGCATTTTTGGTTCATTTTTTTTATATATAAATGCTTTTTTCCAAAAATGTATAAATTATGATGAATATTTTTATAAAAAAATATTAACTTTTACATTATTTCTTTCAAATTATTATTTAAGTTATATGCATACATTTTTTGGGGTCAGTGTATACATGGGTTCATCCAATTTTTTTAATATTTTAAAATTAATTTTTAATGTATTTTCAGTTTATAAATTAATTATTTTACTTTTTATAGCTTTATTATAATAACGGTCTTTTTTTCTAAGGTATTTTTTTCCTAGTATCATTTTTGCTAGTACTTTTTCAGAATTTTCTTTGGACATTTCATTGATTGAAGCTTATTTAAAAATTCTTTATTGCTGTTTTTTTTATATTTTATAATGCTTTATATATATTTCTAATTATTTAATTTAAACCATTTCATTTATTCCCAATATATTTAAAATGAGAGAATAAAAAATATTTTTATATTAAAATCGGACTATGGTCTAAAAGTTTCCTAAAAAAGTAAACCAAAAAAAATTTATATTATCTGCTTTGAAAAAAAGTAGTTTCTTTTAATTATGATGTAAAAGCTCTATTTAGTTTCTCCAAAAGGAAGTAACTATAAATAATAAATTTATCATTTTTGCTTAAAAAGTTGATTTTTCTGATTCTAATGTAAAAACCTATTATGTGGCCTATTGTGTGAGAATTCGTAGGGTATCCGTTTTGAGCAGTAAAAAATATACAGTTATAATATTGTTATTATAGCGCTTGTAATTCTAATCAAAATTTCCAAAATAATTTATAATCATTAATACCTTATATTTTTTGAGTACCGTCATGTAAATTATAATTCCAAATATTGGATTATACATTGATTTTTTTTTTAACATTATTTGTTAAAAATGTTTGACAGTGGTATTGAAAAAAAAATTATGTTAAAGAAAAGTAAGAATAATGAATTGCATTTTAATAATATGATTAATATTTTTGTAAACAACGCGCACCATCTTAAATGGAACCTTTAAAGATTTACCAAAAACTAATAAGCAAAGAATGTATTTGTGGTATAAGATTGATTATAAATTAAGATGGGAAGTAATATAATAGCTAAAAATTTTGAATTAATAGTACATTATTATTAATTCTAATCATAATCATTAATATAAATATGCATCATGTAAAAGACAATGATACAAAAAGTGATGGATGAATAAATATTCCTTAAAATTATGAAATATTATATTTTTTGTTTAAATAAACTATTGTATTATTTTAAATTGCAAAATAAAGTTTTCTGAAATATATTTCTCGTTTAACCACATAATCATTTATTTTATTAAAATTTATATTTTATAATATATAATAAAATTACAAAAACAATTTATAGTAATTAATATGAATGACACATCATGTTAAAGGTAAACCGTTATACATTATTAGCCATTGTATAATAATAAAAAAATATGATAAAATATATTAAAATATTCCATAATTTCCCTATATATAATATAATATTAAAATTATTCTGGTCTCATCCATCATCAAATTAGAAGACCAACTATATGGTTATAGAAATAAAAGGAGAGGGGGAATTTTATTAAAATTTTATAATATAATAACTCACTTAAGAATAAGAAAATCTCCCCAACTGTTGCAAAATAAAATAAAGTTTAAAAAAAAATAGGTAAAATTTTTACTATACTAAATATGATTTTGAATAGATAAAGAATCAATTTATATTTAATGATTAGATTATATATCTAAATAAAATTCGTAAATCTTTAAGCGCATTGCCTTTTATGTTGTTAAAAACAACAAAGCTAAGGTTGGTTCTTCTCATGCCCATCAAACTGAAAAAAAGATATATGGGGTTATTTAAATGACAAGAATCATCCACCAATTTCGGACAGGTTGCAGTTTCCTATGTGCAAATAAAGGCTAACTTTATGCTTAAACGTATATGGGCGTTAAAAATATAATTAAAAAGAGGCCATGCCCGCTTTAAAAATTTTTATTTTATTTGGTACGTTATGGGGTTGGAACAGTCAAATTCATTAACTGAATTGAATAAAGCTTAATAGGTTTACGCTTATGTTTGTGAGAGAGCTTAATTTGATACATTTTGTTTCATATAGATATTTTAAAGATTTAATATAACATTTATTTGAATTCCAATCTATCATAAATGAGTGAAATTTAATATTAAATTCTATGTTCCTTTAAAATTAAATTTATTTTATATTCAAAAAGTAATGTAGTTTTATTGAGATAACTTGAATTTTGAATAATTTATAATACTTATGTCTAGTGTGACAGCTGTCAAGTTTTAAAAAAATAATAATATTATTTAATCAAGGAAGAATATGGAATAAATAAAATATAACAATCAGAAAGAAACTCCTAAAAAGAACTACCCTACCTTCCAACAAAATAAAAAATCATAATAAACGATCTTTAAAATAATTATCTTAAGTAATTATCTTTATGATAATATATTTCCTGTATATAGATTATTTAATCCAGAGGAAAGAGCCAAAAACGTCGTCATAAATATGTTTTAGTCGGGATTAACGTTTTCAACCTGGTAGATTAGAAAACTCAAAAGACACGTTAGTTAGATTGGAAAATATCTTTTTTTTTGATAATTAAATTATCTCACTGGAATTAGCCATAAAAGAATAGTAAAATCTTTAACCTAAATAGGTAGGAAAACATTACTGAGTTAGAAGCGGATGTGATAAAATCGATATTGCATAAAATCTCAATAATTTCATTCTAATTAGAGATCTTTTATCCTAAGGGCTTCCTAGGGTTCAAATTACAAATTAGACAACACTTTAGAATTATATATTTCGTTTTTTATATTCATATAAAATTCAAATTTTTAAAACTATGGGTTCTAATGAATTAAGGTCAAATTATCCCTTTCCTCATATCGTTTATTTACTAATTATTATGATCGAATAGTTAGAGAATCTAAATTCAGATACATATTATAAAATATTGAGTCAAACTATAAGATAA